TAAATCAAACACTTTTCCTAGAAAACTGAAGGAACTAGAAAGAATTGAAAAAGTAAAGTATGTCCAGGAGCTGTATCTCATTTGCAGTCACTACTTTACGTTTAAAAGATCGTGAACCCAGTCCGCTAAAGAGACAATCATCATATTTTAGATATGATCTCACAGTATCTCAATCACATATTTGATAATCTCTGACGCCTAATTTTTATGGTTTGGGAACCGCATGACGCAGTTCCACAAACAAAATCCCAAAAATCTGATTTTTGAGTAATCGGCTTCGCTTAAACCAGAGTTTTTCTGACGCAAAGGTGTGTCAAAGAATTTGATGACCAATCTTCACAAATAGTAACTTTTTGGCTCAAAAAAACTTGGCCTAATCACAAACCAGATTTGATGTTTCTGCTACACATGGTGACGTGATCTCCTTGGCAAAAAAAGCTGGGTGCTTTCGTCTAATTATAAACAGTATGAAAAATCCTGACTAATAGTTGCTCCCTTGATTAAGAACCGGTTTTGGTGATTCTGAGAAGAGAATCAGAGGGGGAAAAACTAGTTTTGCAAGTTGTTTAGGGTGTTGAATTAGCCAAGGTTTTGACAAACAAACTTTAGAAGTCCAGCGACTTCAAATATCTTTTTTTAGTAAACGGTTACATATAAATTTGCTGGTAACAAAGGTCAGAAAAGTGTTTTTTATTCTTTGGCGAAATTTTTCGGTTTCAAAGGTCGAAACCACAATTTTTTCCCCATTTTGTGTTCTTTGACCAAATTTATAAGGACAACGCACTTGTGCAACGCCTGAGATTATGTTCGTTTGTCAAGGCCATTTTTGCAGCGGCGCGCTCAAATTGTCACAAAATTTTCCACTTTTCCCAGCTGATCAATCAATAATTCTAATCGATATCTTCACAAAGATCACTTCTTCCTATACCCTTCAGCATAAGCAACCGGGGGCGCATGTGGTCGAATCGTCGACGAATCCTGTCCCCCCGGACGACATCGTCGCCACCATCACCGCATAAACGGGTTCCGGTACATCTCATCGAACCCCGGCGGCGGCGCGCGACCGACTGCTCGCGTCGATCCTTGGCTTCAATGGGCCCACTTATTTCACGTTTTTCTCGCCTTACGTGAAGTATCAGCTGGAGAACTCTCCTATATGAGAGAACTTGGCGATTTCGCTGCGTCAACTCAACTCCAGCCAGATCTATGATTTATCGATTCTCTGCTTGCTGCTTTGGTAATCTTGATTTGTCTCAAATAAATATCTCGAGGCAAGATTAAATTTTTGGATCTATTTGTGATGTCTTATTGTACCATTAATTTCACAATTTCTTTTTCTTGGCAGTTTTTAAATGACATTTAAAAAGAAAGATTTAGCTCATAGCATATAAAAGCTAAAGTTCAAGCCCAAGATTTTGAATCTGAAATATGCAGGAAATAACCAACTTTTTGATACAAAAAGTCTTCTTATTCATCTTTTTCTAACCGTACTCTTCCAGAAAGTAATATTGTTCCAATCCAATTCCTTTCAAGCACGTTAAATTTTGTTTAAAAATTGAGTTACTAATCGTTATCTCTTTATCTCTTTATTGTTTCATGTCATGGCGCATGTAAAGCACAATAAGGGCTAATCCCGGACGAAGGCAAGTGTACATATGAGTTAAGCGTGCGCGGCGCAAAAGTGGTTTTCGTATCCTATTGTCTTCTCTCTAAAATCTCTCTTGCAAATGAAATTTGGATCACGTGCAAAAGTTTTCACCATTTCTAGAATTATTTTCTGCCCCTTAGAAGCCAAACTACTAGCTGGCATACCCGGGCTTCGCCCGGCCCTGTTAGTGTCCCATTTCTGTACACAACATTACCCCACCCCTGTCTCACTTCTGTATGCCAATTTCCTGCCCCTACAACGTCTTCGTAATCAATAAGCTCACTTACCCCCTTGTTCCAACTCCCAGCTCCTTAGCTTAAACTTTGCAAAAAATCGATAAAATCGATAAAAGTAATTGATAATTCTCAAAACTAATATTGTATTCGTAATCAGCATACTCGATTACCCCCGTGTGCCAACTCCCAGCCCCGTAGCTTGAACTTTTCCAAAAAATTGATAAAATGATAAAAGTAATGGATGAATCCAAAAACTAATATTGTATTCGTAGTCAGCATGCTCTATTACTCCCTTGTGCCAACTCCCAGCCCCGTAGCTTGAACTTTGCCAAAAAAATCGATAAAATGGCAAAAGTAACTAATAATTTCAAGAACTAATATTGTATTTGTAATCAGCATGCTCACTTACCCCTCTGTGGCAACTTCTAGCTTTTGTCGCTCAAATTTTGGGAAAAGTCGATAAAATCGATATCGATCATAGCGAAAAATAGCCTAAGACACCGGCCCTCCCCAAAGCGTATGTGTGCGAAGTTTGGTCCGGATGGGTTCAAATATAGAATTTTCTATTCAGAGCATATGTATATACATACAGACACACAGACAAACAGATATTCAGCTTTATACTTGAAAATTTCCACCACATTTATCTTTGCTACTTTCACATTCAGATTTAACCTGTCCTCTGCATATTTCCACAACGTCTTGTGCGGGTTCAATTTTTGTAATTAATATGAAAGGCAAAAACCTACCACTCTTAAATCCAGTCTGAGCCTGATTGAAATGCTAATTCTTTGCTGATGCTTTTAATCAAATAAAATGATTGAGACCTAAAACCCTAACTTGGGAAAAGAAGCCAGCTATAGAAGAACCCACTGTTGTAAATGAACGGAGCTTGAATGGGACGTTTTCATATTTGCTTTTCTTTGCATGTAAGATTCTACAAAACCGAGTACAGAGTAGTGTAATAAAAATTTTTCCACTATTTTTTCACCCGTACCTGTTCTTCGATGTGTCTTCTGACTAGTATTCGTCATCTTATCATACGCAGTCCCAGCAAATTTTTTTCTTCACCGACGCAGCTGCCATCACTCAAGATGAACATCTTATTTGGTTACAACTGACAAGACAAATGTGCCCGACTTTCTCTTTTTATAGCTTGTTAATAAAAACCAGAGAAAAACAGATCCGGTAATGTTGCAACCATTTTTTGTTTAGTAAGAACGCCAAAGTACTGTCGACCGAAAAAACTTGAGACAGTCTAAACACACTTTGAATTAAGCACTCAGCAATTTTGAATAGAAAATAGTGCAATCAATACTGAAATGTAAAGGCAATGTTATAGTCTAGAGCAGTAAGCTCAAAGAAATACAATTCCTTTACTCTGTCCATTTATAACAATAGAACTGACACGAATCTTCAAAGTGTGACAGCTCTCATAAGCTTTCATTCTCCATTTCTAAGCTTAGTCACATCGAATTATCCTTTATGCAAATTGGTATCGTTCTTTTAGAACGCAAGATGCCAAAAAAGCTTTTCTAACTATTCCAGGTAGTTTGATTCTGTCATTTCTATCGAATATTTCTTTTTTTCGAAAATGATTCAGTTGGCAGACGTAAAATGTTTCATAGCTTTGCGCAAAACGTGCCTGATAAGCGAGTTGATTGATAAACTTCTGTTCTTTCCAATTCTTCATTGCATTTAGCGTGTCCTAAAGCGGTATGCAAAGCACTATCACAGGTTATAAGTTCTTATAAGTTTTCTTTTGAAGACAGTATCCCTAATGGCAATCTCACGTTCTCAAATCATCGTTTTTGGAAGTGTATCCTTTTGATTTGCCGCAGCAGCCTTTGAAGAGCATGTTTATAATGCTGCAATGGCTGGTCGAGTCACGAAATGGTGACTAAAGAGATCTTCAATCCCGTCAATTGTTCATTGACCACTACGTCACTTCTACTTCGCGAAGGCTCGCACTGGCTATCATGGAACGTTCTAGCACACCTACTTAGTGGTACAGGTCTTTCGATCATTCCTCAATCGAATGACGGCTAAGCACAGTCGCTTCATTTCATATGATCATGTGTGTCATTGCACACACAGTTCACCTTTGGCGTCCCCATCCTGGATTCGTGGGAGAAACAAGCTTCAAGTAAGTGTTTCCATGGTGTTCTTAGCATTTTCTTTCCTTTTTAGTTACTAGTCACCTCAAATTGATATTCGATAACAATCGGTAAGTCTCTTGCGTTTTTGCGATTGCAAACCCAGGATGAGGACGCCAAAGTGGACTGTGTGTGCAATGGCACACATGATCATATGAAATGAAGCGACTGTATCTATCAAACATGAACCTCCTTGATATGCAACTCCCAAATGCTTTGAAACATTTTAAAGCAATGCTCACTGTAATTGCGTAACAGACCAACTTTACAGACAGACAGATTAGCGGCTCATTGTAAATCATGGTTCTGAAGATTTTATGTTTAATCTTCTTCTCCTGTATGCGATTTCATTTTCATTTTGCGGAGGCCAACAAAGGTGTTGGCATCTAATTCCGATGTTGTCTCGAATGCACGTCGTTCGACAATCTTTGAAATTTGTGTTCAAAAATGAAATAGGCATAAATGCTCTAGAACATTTTCATGTTTAGATTTGCTTGATTTTCTTGATAAAATAGCCTTAGAAATCATACTCAATGGTCAATAAACGTAGAGTTTTGTAAGTAACCTTCAATACTTGTCACTGCTCTGCAATGCGATGGCAGCTCTTTGAAATAGCTAGAGCCTGTCCTCCGGAGAAGGCCTGGTGAAATGAAAAATGTCATGAGGAAAATGCGCAAAGATTTGCTACGTCCTTCCTTTGCTGCGAAAAAAAAATCATATCCGGTATCAAGACGGATCGCATATGAGTATAGAAGCAAGAGAATTGGAAATTCGCTGCTACAGAAGCGGGAAATTACGAGACCCAATATTAAAAACAAGCCGGCGATGTTGTGCGCAGCGTGATCCCGCACGCTGCGCCGCGCGGTAACGCTTGCGCATAGATGTGTGACTGCACTAAGCGGCGCTGGCCTCGTGAAACGCGTTGTACATCCTGCGCGAAAGAGAGTACGTGATTGACACATACTGTATGTGGCTTTTGAGTAGTTTTTCTTCCATAAACATTTCGCAATTCTGTAACTTCCTTCCTGTCTTCGCTTTCCCTCGCTTCGAATCCCTGAGACCACTGGTGATTTTCTCTATGCTTACTATGTCCAATGCACCACATTTGTGGTAATACAAAACCTTATAGAATGCCCCGCTGCATACGATGTCGGTCGCGTGAGCTCTGTCATGATCACGGTTCTTACCGACTAGTAACTCGTGACAAGCTACAACCTACTATGTGGATTAACCAGTATGTTATACGACATTATCGACCTACGAATATGACCAATTCGATGTGCGCTAAGAGGTAGACAACGAAGTGCGGTTTAAATTCACGCCATATCAAGAAATTTTTTAGTATCTTCCACTGGACTAACGAGACGATCAACATATGGAGTCATCTATTAGGATTTATTTATTTTACCTACTGTCAATATGAAATGAATGTATACCGGATACCGTTGTTAGGCGGACACTTCCAAGATCACCTTATTATCTCCTTATCCTTGTTCGGAGCGCAGGTACGTACTTGGCTACGACTGTCAGAAGTTTTGGCTGCGTTTAACCATCGGTGAAGCCTAGAATATTTGACGTCTAATAGCTCTTGCGTATCGGACAGCACTTGCGCGTAAACAATGCGCATGTGCTGCAAAACTCAGTTATGTAGGCCCATTTTCCCCTTCAGGTGTAACAGGCAAAATCCAAACTTTTCCGCACAAAAGTTGTAGAACAGCATAGCATTTACGTTTAAAAATCTTTCGATAGGGCAGATGCCAAATCAAGCCAAACCTGCTTTAGAATATTCATGCCTAGTATCAATCTCGCAAAGAAGAAAACAAGTTTTTCAAAGATGGATTGTATTTGAAATAAGCTAGTAGATTAGTTGGGATAAGTACGTATATGAACCAAGTCACTTCTAGACTAAGATTTATAGCCGTGTTAAATTTTCATTTTTTATCGTTAAGGTCTGCATGTTGTTCTCCGCTGCCTATCACACCTTTTGCTGTGCAAATGAGGAAAAACGGCAACAGTTTTTGAAACTCGACATATGCGGTATCTCGTCTGGATTGATAGGCATGTATCTATCAGGGATTTATACAGCATTCTTTTGTTTCAGGGTATGCTTTGTATAATCGCTGCTTCACCTATAATCGCGAATTTTTAGGACTGTCTCGAAACGTATCTCTACATGCTGCTTTCCATATTTTTGATAGCGGTGTATGTGCCAACACGGGAGGATTTCTTTGACAGAAAAATTGTCGGATCTCGGATCGGCTACTTACATCTAATCTATACCGCTATTATACTGTGCGGTATATGTCCCACTACACACTGGGTTTATTTACATGGTGGATTGGCTAATGAACACGTAGCGGTTAGTTATTTTATATTATTTCATTTTAGTTTTATTTTATAAATACACTCGAGGTGCACCAGAATGTAAAAGGATAAAAAGAAGGTCCAAAGAAATGCAACCAGCCAGTCTCAGTGTCAAGAGAAGATAAAAGAGGATATGGATGGAAAAACATAACACGAAGCTCTAAACCCAGCTTGTAAAGTTGAAAGTTGAAAGTAACTTAATCAAAAAATAATCACAAGAATCTTGCACACTCTAAAATTGAAGATGCCCCATTTTTGGGTGTCAACGAGCCCGCCCGTAACGCTAGCTGACCTGACCTCAGTGAAGATTGATTTTAGAAATAACAAGGTTCCGATTAAGAGTGGCAGAGTAAACATCTACCAACTTCTCTAGAAGGCACTTCATTAGGCGGATACAACCTGGGGTGCCCTAGATGGGAAACTAAGCTTCGTCAAAGTAACAAGGTGTCATAAAGCTCCTAACGAATGAGCCGGGCTGGTTCAGTTGTTAGGTGATGCCTGTGATTGATAACAACCAATAATTAACCAATAGTTATGGATAGCTTCGTCCTTTATCTTTTTCTCTTCTTTCCAAAATAAAAAATTTGGCGAGCTTAACAAAGGCATAAGGTGCAAAATTGGGCTAAAGGATTGGAAAGAAAGCGAAATTGTGCTAGAAATTTAGTGAAGTGTGCGTGGGTCCTTGATATCATTTTATCGTTATATGATTGGGGTTTCTATAATTTTTTTGTTCACTTCCTTGATGACTCACAACAATAATCATTATAGACCTGGCTGATAGATATCGTTGTGCTGTACGGCCTTGTTGCTGCTGCTTTTTTCTTTTACGTCACACTAATTCCGGAGCGCCTATGTCCCGGTAGGTTGCAATGTTGTAGTTTATAGTACATTTGAGAAGATTTCAACAATGCGGACAAGTGGCTTGTCAGCTTTTGCGAGTATCCATGTATTTCAATCTTCCTGAACAAGATAGGAAATTTGTAAGCCAGAAAGTTTTTTCGTATCTTGTTAAGGAGATGTTTGAGAAAGCAAACGCAGATCACCAATAATTTTGTGTTGAATTACAGCGTATTACACCAGCAAGCACAAACTGCAATTACCATAAGCAAGCTCAGCTGTATATCACCCTCACAAAGAATATTTCAGGAAAGTTTGACTTAGTAGGATGCTCTCATCAGTGGTGGCATGTGTTGATACTGTCGGCGATGATTTACTGGCAAAGAGCAGGAGCTGAATTGTTATCATTTTACCGTTTGAATCCAACATCATGTGAAGATGTCATCACGATGTCTTCGAAGAATTCCAGTCTGATTTTGTGAAACTAGGGATGTTTTTTTGGCTATACATACGTGTTTCGAACGATTCTTAAGTGTTTCTCTTGGAGATTCACTCCCTGTCATGAACTCATTTGTTAGGTGCCCTAGTGAGATGATTTAGTTAGTATCTGCAGGGATACAAAACTTTTGTGTTGATGCATTTGAAAGATGAACTGATCTGATTGCTTCAATAATAGGTTGTGACTTTATCGTTCACGTTGTGCTCATGTTACTAATTTTGTATGTCCATAGTAGGTGTTATGTAAATTCACGGCTGCTGGAAAAGAAGTTCTTGGACATTACAACGATGTTTTTGAAACATTTTACTCAGGCTATCACTCGATAAAGCCAACTTTGCAGTAAACACTACACACTCGTAATAGAAAACATATCATCTACATACATTGAACAATGTTCAAGTTTGAAATGGGGATCCGTTTTTGGAGTTTCTCCTGTAGATGTAATGTACATGCAGATCATGTAGTAACAATGCATGCTTATATCTACTGGTACCACAAAAATGTCCAAGAACTTTCTTTTTGGCCTGAAGAACTTTATTTATTTGAATTTGAATGAATTGTTTGATTCTTGAGACCTGTGTACTATCAGACCCTCCGATACTTTTATCGCCAATCAAGGCAGGGACAGAAGAGGTAAAGGAAGGTTCCGAGCTTTTAACTGATAAATACAAGCGCGGATACGAGAACGCTGTACGTTCAATCGCGAAAACGACAACAAACGGCCTGAGAGCTACCAAAGATAGTACCAATTGATAGATTTCATTTCAAATGAATTTGGCGATCCCATGGCAGTTCACCTTGATCAACGCTTAACTATTCTTGATAAGGTCTGATTCTCTTCCAACCCGCTCGTCTCTACTCTTCGCAAAATTCTTTTGTACTGGAGAACGATCGCTCATAACTTTTCCCAGAAGATCATTGAGCAGCTAAGGAACACAGATTTAGTATCAGCGTCCCAAAACCAACAAAATGATATGATATGCACCACGTATGAAAACCTCACTTCGACTGAGGGTCCTTCCCTTGTTAGATAAAAAAGAGGGCTAAGGGAAAAAATTGAATAGAACTATTTGGTTGATGCATAATTCCTGCGCCAAAATAGGTACAGACCGCAATAACTCGGAATAATCCTATATCCCAAGTAGGGTTCGATATATCATTAGATAGCGCAAACCTAACTCTACAAGATAGTGCTCAAATATCTACACCAGCTTTGATCCACGCGAAGTTTTGAGCCGAAACTGAAAAAAACCATGCTTCCGAAAACCTTAAGACCAATCAAAACAAAATTGTAACTCCGTTCAAAAAGCTCCTACAAAATTTCTTTCTTGTTCACGCGTAGACATTCCACGTAAGACATCTATGCGGTTTCTGTATTTTTTCTCGGCTAGACGATGAGAAAACGAACTTTTTCACGTTTTTGCCAAATTAGTGCTGAGATGTTCTAGCACTAACATTTGTATAGTACATGCCATTAGCAGTGAAACTTTGCATTTTCAGCCTTCTAGAACAGCTAGTTCACAAGAAATGACGAATTTAGCCCTCTTCATCTAAAATTTTTCTTGCCTAGTTGCCAAAAATTCGATATTTCTCGTAAACCAGCTGCTGTAAAAAGCTGAAAATTAACACTCACGCTTGTAAGGCCCTGTAGTATACAACTGTCAGTGCTAGAACATCTCATCATTGTTTTGGAAAAAACATGAAAGACTTCGTTTTCTCAATTTCTAGCTAAGAAAAAAATACAGCAACTGCATAGAGAGATGTCTTATACAAAATGACAATGCATGAGCAAGTTAGAAATTTCGAAGGATTTTTCTGAACTGACTTCCAATTTTTTCTTGGTTTTTTGGGGCGCTTGGATCTTTTTCGTTTTTGGCTTCAATCTTCGCTTAAATCAAAGCTGCTGCAATACCTTAGGCACTATCTTGCAGAGCTAGGTTTGCTCTATCTAGAATACATCGAACCCTACTTGGGATATAGGATTATTCCGAGTTATTGCGGTCTGTACCTTTTTTGGTGCAGGAATTATGCATCAACCTAATACATTTTATAAAGGTGAATTGAAATTTACGACGAAATCGCCGTAATTAATCGTTATACATGCACCATGATAGGCCCAAAACCACTGCCGCTCACATTTGCCTCATTCCTGAAGTTGTAGCATCAGTGTAAGTTGCCACCTCAAGCGCGCGGTAGTTCGCGTACTACCCCGACCTGCACAGCTATAATAGGTATGATCAGAAGAGCTGAGATTATACCCTTGACAAGTATTATTAGGTAATGATAACACAGGAACCACTATGTTCACAACATAGAAAATCATGCAAATCCTCAAATCCTATCACTGACTGACTGCGCAGAGGGAGGATCTGTTGTAGCGATGGTTAAATGATATCGTCCCATCATATTTCAGGACCCGCGAAGGTCCAACAGCAGGACGCCGTTCATGCGGAACGGTACGTTCCCTCTTTGCTTTCACGGAAATCCCTCTTCCTTTAGTTGTCAACTACTAGCTGAAAACTTTGTCCCATGCTCATCTACCGCTCAACCGCCTACCTAAAACCTTCTTGTGGGACCTGCGCACTCGATCACTAAATGGTGCTACACAGCGCTCACTTGGCAGGACGCCAGTAGAGGGATTCCCACTACGAATAGAGTAGCGCCTCAGTACTTCGACAGCCAGACTCCTGGCAACTATTTCGGAGAGCTGCCATTGCACTGCAAAGCACGACAAATATCAAATGCAAGTTACTCTACAATATTGACTAATCATTGCCTATGGTTGTAAGGCTATATTATCAAGGAAACAAGACAGATCTGAAAATGAAATGTGTTCTAGAGTGCAACGCTTCCTTTGTTTTAAAACTATCGAACAATTATACATTTGAGGCAAGGTCGAAAATTAGACGCTGCCTGTCATGTTGGCCCCCACAAAATGAAAATGAAAATATAGAAATGAGCTGGAAAAGATTAGACATCAAATATTCATAATCATGACATAAATAAGCCGCTAAACTGTTGCCTGTGAAGTGGATCTGTCGCGAAATTCAGTGAGGATTGATTTTCAATGATTTAAAGCATGTGGGAGGTGCATATCAAGGAGGTCCATTTTCGATAGATACTTATTTTTAGATTTTCAAATAAGGATTCTCATGCATTGCTGCGGAATGGTGTTTTCGAAATGAATGACTTTGATGACAGCATGGTATAGATTCGTGGATATTCTCACCGTTTATGTACAGCAAATCAAATGCACGGCGGGTTTGTAGGGTGATACTTGACTTTGTAAAAGTGGGGATTTATAATATAGGGAAAGCCTCTACAAAATATAGCTTTGAACAGTTTATACGCAACTATTCGCTAAGCTTGAGTTTATAAGTATGAGCTTCAAGAACGTGTTATATATTTAGTATATACAGTTTGATCCTACAACTATTTATTACTATACTATTATGAGCTATTAACTAGCGACTGAAACAGGCGTACTAAAAGAATGCAATGTACGATATTAGAGTGCTTTGGATCTCTTCATATAGTCGTGGTTCTGCCTTGCCATCATCCATATGTCATTTCCGTAATCCTCAAAACTTGCACATTGAAATCGTATTATAGAAGTTATGCTTAATCTGACACCTGCAAGAGCCTTAATTTCTTTTCGTGTCCGCGCAACATCCATCGCGGATTGAATTGATTGTTACCGAAGACCCTGGACACAACAACTTTAAGTAAGGTTATGAATCAAAAGTTGCCCTTTTGAGTAAAAAAAACTTAAGTCTCTTCTTAAAATTCAAAATGCCTAGCAGTGGAAGGTATGTCGCCGATATATTTACACGCTTACAATCTGAATGTCACTGTCGACGTGGCCAGTTTCTGGCGAGCCGCCTCGCCTTAGCTTCTCCACGCGTTCGCCCTCAGCCAATACGGTATATTTCCATGCTTGAGGCGTGGGAAATACCGTGTCCCTAGGCCATTGGCTGATGAGCTCGGAAAAATGCCACGAGACAAGTTCGCAAACGCATCGAGTGGCGGTTTCGAGGAATTCGCAAGAAAACGAGCCGCCGACCGTGACACTCGGATTGAAAGCCCTTGTGTCCCGGCAAAGTGGACGATGGAATTTCATAACGTGTCCGTTAATAAATGATCAGTGAAACCCACGTAAAAGTGGTACGAAGCCAAAACTCAACTACGGGTAAGCCCATTGTGCTTTTCAAGCTACACTATTGAAATGACAAGACGGCTTAGCCCAAAGTAGAAAAATTTTTTCGTTTCCAAGTTTTGCCTGGGATGCTGCTTATAAGCTCCACCCGGCGTTCACCTGGCACGTGGTTTCAATGTGTAAAGGTGTATGCTTTGTTGCAAATGTCCGTGGGTTCTCCCTTCTCACATTGAGACCCTACTCCCGAACATCAGCCTGTTAAAACGACGTGTTTTCTGCTATGAGATTGGCCCGTAGTAAAGCTCGATCAGTTCAGGTGAACTGAACTTAACCTATCAGTTGAGCTACGTCAGGTGAACTGATGACCGCCTACCTTCCCATGCTATAAGCATGGCAAGTAAACTGAAAGTTGGCCATCCGTCCACCTGCTGCAGTAAACTGGACACCAGTTCACGTTCAGGTGAGCTGAACATGAACTGATGTTAGAGGAATGCAAATAGTGTGGAAAAGAGGAGACGCAGAGAAGACTCCCGTAAGTTGCTCCTGAGCAACTTACGATACACACCAATTTGCCTAACACTGCAGACAAAATTGGCGCAAAACTGCACAATGCCGGGGGCCCGAAAAGGAGAGAATCGACAACAGCTGATTTTGGCGTGGAAAGAAGAAAACAGATTCTTTCATTTTTTGTAAAGTTTGCTGACTTTTTTTTCGAAAAGCTGCTCAAGACTGGGATTTATTGATTTAATTCATTGACTTTATTTTGCAACCATTTCATTTTTCATGAATTTTCGTCAAAAAATGTGTTTTTGTTTTATCCCTGCATGTGCTAGGCGAAATCCTTGATAGCGGTTATCATCGATTTTGCGATAGTGGTCGCTATGAAAGACGCCAGGCGATACAGCAAAAATGTGGCGCTAGCCTGTGTTGAACCATGGCCGCGCAGGCTCAATTCCAGTCGCTTACCTGTTCGACCAAAACAGCGTAAGTGGTTCCTTTTTCAAGAACACACATGGTTATCATGATTAGAAAGCGATCCGCATCCAGATCAACAGCTCACTGGATGCTGGACTGAGGCGTCCTGACTCGACTGGTGCGGGCCTACGTTCAACGTAGGCCCGCACCGGTCGAGTAGCACTGATGGGGGGATTACTACGGGCCATTGTGAATGGTTGCAGTCACATCAGAGAACTTCTAGTTTTTTTCAGCAGTTGTTTGTTGTTGATGCTGACCGTTTCTTCCTTTCCTGTGCATCGCCATCATTTGAACATTGTGCACCTTGCATCCGGTCAAGCATCTGCAACAATGCTTAAGATACGAGATCGAGCCAAAGTGATACATGTACCTTCAGATCTAATTTCTCAGCCGGAGTTTTCAAACACTTCAGTCCTACTGTGTTTCCTTGATTATCTACTGCTGATAGTGGACAATATTCGAACGGATTGTAGTTATCAAATTCCAGATAGTTTCGAAGAGCAGCCTGCGCATTGTAATAAGGAGAGACTTTGTCAAAAAATAACTCTTGCCATTTACCGTAAACTTATTTGATTTCTCAAGGCTTCCCACATTTGACATTTGCAAAATCCTGGTGTTATTGCAAACACTGTTCAACTCTCCCAATAGTCGACGAAGCTGAACACTCAAATACATGACAGAACAATTTGTGCAAATTTGACTTGGTAGAAGCAATACATGTACTGATGCATTTAATAGCTGACTTCTTTGTCATATACGCTGCTGTTCAAATGTTGCTGCTGATCATTCCTACACGTCCATGTAAAAAATTCATGATACAAACGGCTGAAGATTGCAGAGGTTATGATTTCGAATTTATACTTATATCTAACAATAAGCCTTACAAAGTAGTTTACGACTTTTGCTATAAGGAAGTTCTGAGAGTCTTAGAAGGAAAAAAATAATTATACCTATATAATGTTGAGGCCAGATAACTCAGTAGTTCTTAAGTTTGATTGGATAGCAAGGGAAGAGCACATAAGTTTTGTTAGCTAAGCAAAAAATTTGCAATATGCAGCACGGTAAAGTGTTGGTCAACTTGGATATGTTTAGGCTGGTCGAGTTTAGAAAAAAAATAAGGTGCGTCTTGTACTCGTGAAATTAGGATAGGTATATTGTTTTGCAGCTCGGATAAAGTTTTGCAAGAGAAAGAAGAAGGAAGAATTGTGCTCATGGCTGAACACAGAAGTCATAATAGCGCATTGGATCGTTTTGGGACAAAATGCAAAGGAGTGAGGCAAAGCATGACCTGCAATACAATACCGCTCACAGAATGTGCAAAATTTCCGTGAATGTCGCAGAATTTCAAGTATTCCGCGAAGGTTCGCGAAATTTCGGGAATTTCGCGAAAGTCCGGAAATTTCGCGAAATTCATGTGAATCACACAAATTACGCAGGGCCATACTTCCTTCAGAATGAACATTTTCGAAATCCAAAAGCAGCACTGTGTTCATCTCGTCAAGTCGAATCTTAGTGTGCACAGCATGCCTTTGAAATTCCGTTTCCAATTTTTTCGGAATTTTTTGCGCGCGTATATTCACAAGGTCGCAACGCAGTGCACATCGAACGTAAAAGACTCCAATGAGACTGTTGGATTGTGCTGCTTTCGCAGATTAGTGAGCGCTAAAAAGCAACCGGAGAATCTTCTTGAAAAAAGGTAGAAGAGCTGGTGAATTCTGGAAAAATCGCGTTGTCTCAAATTTTGCCCACCGTGACCCTAAAATGAGAAGCTCTACTGCTAAGCAGATGTGATTTTCGTAATCAGCAGGTCAGATAATTTCTATGAGCAAGGTTTCAAAGAAATCCGGGTGATTTGATTTTTTTTCGTTCTACGCCCTGAAGCTTGCCGATGGGTTTTGGTCAAAATGTCGATTTGGATTATAAGGAAACTTTGCAAGAGGTTTTCGAACGCGCTGTTTACGATGACCGTCTTTTGCGCGGAGTACAGAGTTTTTCTAGCAGAGATATGGTGAGGGAACTTTAGTTAAGCCACGAAAGTTCGTAGATTCGCCTTTATTTTTCAAGCACCTCTTAGAAAATCTGCTTGCTTGCCTTTGCAGGTTGAATTCACTAGAAAGCGTGCTATTTAACGGTGCATGCATCTGGCTCCAATCTATAGCAATCGCCGAGTTACGGGCCTACGCAATCACGTCCTCATGAGTTTTGCCCAAAACGTAAAGATCGCCTGCTTCGTAGAAATTCCACCTAAGTGATTGTAAGATACGCTGATCACCAATTTTGTGTTTGCATCGCTTAAGGAATCTATCCTGCTGTACTGGAAGTAATTGAATAGATCTGAGCTGTAGCCACGAATCTGCTTTGATATTCAGCTAAGCGGCTCAGGCACGCCTAACCACCAGATCCAATACAACAAGACCTCGAGGATCTTTTGAGTTGAACACAAAATTGGTGACCAGCATATCTTACAATCACTTAGGTGGAATTTCTAAGAAGCAGGCGATCTTTACGTTTTGGGCAAAACTCATGAGGACGTGATTGTGTTGGCCCGTAACTCGGCGATTGCTATTAGATTGGAGCCAGGTGCATGCACCGTTAAATAGCACGCTTTCTAGTGAATTTAACCTGCAAAGGCGAGCAAGCAAATTTTCTAAGAGGTGCTTGAAAAATAAAGGCGAATCTACGAACTTTCGTGGCTTAACTAAAGTTCCCTCACCATATCTCTGCTAGAAAAACTCTGTACTCCGCGAAAAGACGGTCATCGTAAACAGCGCGTTCGAAAACCTCTTTGAGCAAAGTTTCCTTATAATCCAAGATCATCGACATTTTGACCAAAACCCATCGGCAAGCTTCATGGCGTAGAACGAGAAAAAATCAAATCACCCGGATTTCTTTGAAACCTTGCTCACAGAAATTATCTGACCTGCTGATTACGAAAATCACATCTGCTTAGCAGAGCTTCTCATTTTAGGGTCACGGTGGGCAAAATTTGAGACAACGCGATTTTTCCAGAATTCACCAGCTCTTCTACCTTTTTTCAAGAAGATTCTCCGGTTGCTTTTTAGCGCTCACTAATCTGCGAAAGCAGCACAATCCAACAGTCTCATTGGAGTCTTTTACGTTTGATGTGCACTGCGTTGCGACCTTGTGAATATACGCGCGCAAAAAATTCTGAAAAAATTGGAAACGGACTTTCAAAGGCATGCTGTGCACAGTAAGATTCGACTTGACGAGATGAACACAGTGCTGCTTTTGGATTTCGAAAATGTTCATTCTGAAGGAAGTTACGGCCAGTAGAACCTGGAACAGCTTGATTTTTCCAGAGTTTATCAGCTCTTCTATCTCTTTTGAAAGAAAGTCTTCGGCAGCTGAGATAATTCACGACAATTTAGTGAAAGAGTACTATCGAACAATGCACACGGCAGTCTCCTATGCGTGATGCTCGTTGCGTTATCACCATGCGAAGAGGCGTCCGCGTGCAAATTCAAGATTAGTGAAAACACGGTATTGGACACAACCTGTATACCAGAAGATTCGCCTTGACGAGCTAAATACAATGCTGTTTTCGGATTTCAAATATACTCATTCGGAAAGAAGTTATGGCCCTACGTAATTTGTGTGATTCACATGAATTTCGCGAAATTTCCGGACTTTCGCGAAATTCCCGAAATTTCGCGAACCTTCGCGGAATTCCTGGAATTCTGCTAAATTCATGGAAATTTTGCACATTCTGTGAGCGGTATTGCATAGTATTTGAGCGATGTCGCAGATATTGCATCATTATTGGCATGCTACAAAGGGAGATTTGAGAATGACTCTGTGATATAATGGAAACAGTAATTTATCAACTACACCCCGACATAAGCAAGCTCTTTGAAAAGTTTGTGAGAGAAAAGAAACACGCTACTTTCCTCCTTTTCCTTTCTGTTATAAGATAAGTTTAGAATGAGTGATAAAACAAGATATCTACAATGACATCAAAGCAAGCGAAGATACAATCGATGCCAAACTATATGAAGTTCATTGGCTTCCTCGTCCTAGTTTTTCCTAGAGGACAAGAGCATTGGACTCTAGTCACTCACGGGAGGGAACAACAGTCTGTAGGTCGAACCGTATTAGCTAGTTTACACACTTTATCTTCATACTCATCTATTATTATGGTAAGAAAGTTCTCGGACATTTTCAGAAAAGATCTGCTACTTCTCAAAACCTAACGCATATACATCAAATAGGGGTATCATTCGATAGAGCAAAGCAAGCTCTACAAGATGGTATGCAAAAGTTCGCACCAGCTTCGACCCACCGTAAGTTTGCAGCCAAAATCTGAGTTGTACTGAAATTCAAAAAAATGCGAAAAATTCATATCTTTGTTCAAACAAATCCTACGGATCTCCAACTTGCTCACAAAAATTGCGGACCACATCAGACACTCATATGCACCGTTCCTGTAATTTTTCCTCATCTGGAAATCGAGAGAACGAAAATTCTCATGCTTGTATAAAAACGAAGCTGTGCTGTTTCCACCGACGTAATTGAATAGTACAAGCCCTTAAAAGTATAACCGTAAATTTTCGGCTTTCCGTAAGCCCTAGTTGTCGAAAAATATTGATTTTAGCATGGAACGCCCGACTGAGGAGCGCTCAATTCGGTAATTTTCGGGAACTAGGGCCTGTAGAAAGCTGAAAATTTACGGTTACACTTCTAAGGGCTTGTACTATTCAATTACAATTACATGGGTAAAAACAGCAGAGCTTCGTTTTTATACAAGCATGAAAATTTTCGTTTTTTCGATTTCTAGATGAGGAATAATTACAGGAACGGTGCATGTGAGTGTCTGATGTGGTCCGCAGTTTTTATTAGCAAGTTGGAGGTCCGTAGGATTTGTCTGAACAAAGATATGAATTTTTCGCGATTTTTTGAATTTCGGCACGACTCAGATTCTGGGTGCAAACTTACGATGGGTCAGAGCTGGTAAGAATTTTTGGACATCATCGTAGAGCTTGCTTTGCTCTATCGAATGGTACCTTTATCTGATGTATATGCGTTAGGTTTTGAGAAATAGCAGATCTTTTCTGGAAATGTCCGAGAACTTTCTTACCAACCTAATACAATCGAGGTGCATCAAAAACAATAGTAAGTGGAAACACAACCTAGCCACACTACATAAGAGAAAGTAGTAAATAGAAATATTATTACACTCAAAACCTAAAACTCATTCAACGGTATAAAACGGAGCAAATCTATACTGCGTAAGGACAATATATGTATCTCAAACGTTATCTCATCATTATCAACGTCATTTGCTCGCATGCAAAAAAACGTGAATTCATGGAATAAGGAAGACACCCCTCAAGTCTACTTGTGTATCAGTCACTCGTTCTCTTCTGATGAACTTAGTGAACTGGTAACGACTTGTTGTAGTCTACTTAGCAGGGCCAAGTGGAATCGCAAAAATTGACCAAAAAACTATCGACAGCTTTTCAAAAGTATCTGTTGCATTTATCAGTTATTTTATCGACTTTTTTGGCAAATGAGCTACAAGACTGGGATTTGGGACGAAGGGAGGAGGGGAGTCGGCATGCTGGTTGCGAATACAATATCAATTTTCAAGAGTATCGATTACCTTTGTCTATTCAATCAATTCATTGCAAAATATAATCTGGAGAAGAGGTAAAGCTGATTGATGATTACAAATATAGGCAACACCTCAAAAACAAACTCAAGACATTTGATTGTTTTCCATTTTTAAAGCTTACGACTTACAAGCTTGATTAATATGTTATTGCCGCTTACCTGATTTCCTGCGATTGTTGTGAATTTCTTCTTACGTTACTACTGAGTTCATCAACATAAACGATCTAACAAATATTATTTGAAGTGCGAACGGAAAAGCACTCAAGAAAACCCACATATAAAGCTTCTAAATTTGTGACATTCTTCTCCGTTTTGATTTTTGAGTATAGTTTCATTCAATAAGTTTGCAGCTGATCTTTTATCAAGTAAGGAATGAAAGTCTGAACTTTGACAGTTAAAGGCAGCGGCTCAGTAGAATGACAACTTTGGGATATTCATGGTTTCTGACTCCCTTGGATGAGCTGAGTCTGAAACTGTTGCAGCTTTCAAAGAAATCAATAACTCGCTTTCCCGGTAAAGTACTGTTTGGGCGGGTGTGGCTGCTGGAGTCAATAGTTCAATCGCCGCCAAGATGGGTACGGTATCTCCACTCACGAGCCAATCGCGCTCTAGAAAGCAGGCTTACGCCGTCCGCCTGAATAGCACTTTTCGTTCTGGAAAAGCAGGTTATTGAAATTTTTTGAGCTGCAAAGCACATTCCTGTCTTAGCACATCCAGGGAAACCGAGAACGATAAATATCCCAAAGTTGTCATTCTGTCGAGCCGTTCTTTGAGAGTACTTTCAGTTGATCAAAGTCCAGCCATTGCAAGATCTTCTGTACCTCTTTGGATTTCTTGAAATCCAACACCTCGCTTCTGCTCCACATCGTCACGGGATCACAATGAGGAACAATTTTTTGGGGGAGTAGTCTCATCGCCAATCGTGTGCACTTACTATATGTCTATAAAACAAAAATGTGCTCTAGAATAAACAAAATATTAACGTAGTACTCACATCAGGGTTTGTGCAAGCTGACTGTAAAAAATTACTCGCAGTGTAGAGTAAGGAAGCCACCAATGTAGTTCTTTGAAATAAGAAGTTTCCTTGCACTATCACTTCTCTTTTTTACTCAGTGAAACAGAAGACATACATATTCACAAAACTGACGGATACCCAGTCGAATGATATGGCTAGAGTCAACCACATTATCAAAAGCAGCCAAGGGCCCAAGGCAACGAATGCCACATCCCGATAGCACTTTTAAATAGCATAAGTTTTTGTAGCAGCAATTAATTCAAAAGATTCAAACCTTCTCGATGCAAGATTTAGCGTAGAGTCCTCTTTCTTTCCAATATGAAGTTGTTTTGCATCGATATTGGGGAACGTTTGTTAAGGTAAAATAACTTTCATAAGCCAAGGAGGTAGCAGTGAGAGCAACACATGTGTCGAAGATAACAATTGCCAACCACATACTCAAGTTTTCCTTGGAAAAATGTCCCGTACAAGTCCAACTGGTTACCACCTCAAAAATAATATTAGACACTTTCAAGTATGTTTCAAGGTTCGTACTTTGTTCGTATATGTTATTGTAGGCGTTGCGACACACAGCCCTAGTACTATACCGACTGCGACTGAGTAGATCTCAAAAGAGAGAGTTTTACGCTTCATAGAAAAATTTCCACTAAAGACCATACAACGATAGGAGGTGCTTTGTAAGGAGCTTTGTTTTCTCTGTCCCAAAAATGACTTTTTCTAGCATGCCCGTACACAACTTCGTGCACATTTAGTGACTCCAAAGCAAAGAATCCAATACCTTAAAGAATGCATTATTCTTACTCGACTTTTTTTTTGTTGATCTCTCACCAAGGGAATAGCAAGTAGTTCCAATGTAGAACCATACTCCGCAAGCAAATGAATTTATGTTAAACAACGCCGGGTGATGAAAGAAAAGGACGACAAATCCTGCTATAGAAAGCAGCAGTGATCGCATGTTCTGGCAGAAAACCTGAGTATCCTGAAAAAACAATGAGATAAACCTAATTCATGTAATTTCAGAGTAGGCAGCAAACCTCTCCGCTTTTTGGAAAGTGCAGTTTCATAATCCCTTTCAAAACTATTCTAAATATATCGCTTGCGCTTACTAGAGTCACCCCAACACTTGCTGCAGATATGATCGAACTCTGAAATTACTAACTTAATTTGATATGCATAACAGTACATTTGACCTCAGAATAATAGCGCACCATGTGTTTCAACGGGATTGGAGGCTGGAAGGCGGGGCTACGAGGCCTAATCAAGACAAGGCCCGTATGCACGTACATCCCCGCGGGGAGGGGAGGGGATCTGAGAGGGGAAGCGTCATATTTCGCTACTCTGTATACCTATCTTCTTCCTTCTTTATCTTTCGAAGTCATTTATCTTTCTAAAAACTCCACGAAAATGCCGTAAAGTTGTACTGAGGATATACTACGGCACCGCTAAGCATGTTTTTGGCAGAAGAAATGGAATCTGAAAATTATAATTTTTTCGGTAATCCCTGGCTCGCGAGCAGTTCATCGAAAATTTTGATATCCTGAGATTTCTCTTATTTCTACTATAGACATGTTTAGCAGTATCATATTATACCTTCAGCCTAAATTTAGAACATTTTCATTGAATTTGTAGGAAGATAAATGACTTTGAAAATGAGAGGTGATCCCCTGGGAATAGTTGTAAAAATCTAATCTTGTATGGCAATAACCCGGCATCTATTATGCGCAGGTATTAGGGTATGAGAACCTTCATATCACAGATAAAGAAGGAAGACGAAAGATATACAGAGTAGCGAAATATGATGCTTCCCCTCTCAGATCCCCTCCCCCCCCCCCGCGGGGATCTACGTGCATACGGGCCTAAGGTGATCAGAGAGCACGCTCGCGAGAGGGACGCAGACTACGTCACGGGTGCGATCGATCGCCTTCCAGCCGCCAATCCGAATGAATCAAATCATGGTACATCTCTGTTTTATTGCCGGCGGCTGAAAAGTATTGGCGCGTTTAGAAGCTTTACACATTTCCTGAAAAGCTTTTCTACTGAGTTATCGTTTAAACACCTCACTGTGGGTAACATTATCTAAAGAAACTGTTTGAACCATTTCAGCCCTCACAAGTGCCTACACTACATTCGGGTACCCTGAACCGCGCACCGCATGTACTTTTAGTCTCGTTCCATGCTCTCGTGTGTCCTTTGCGGTCATTCAAATTGCTGATATAGCGCCCTAACTTCCTTACCACTAACCCCAAACGGCAAAGTCGAATGGGTGAAGATGGAGGTTATCAAGCGGATATTGATATTTTGTTGAATAGAAGCTGTCTAGCCGCAGTACCCTCGTCTAGTGCAGCCGTAACTATACGCGCTCGAGCCAATATATTATTCAGGAATCGTGAATTTGGATTTTTCAGTATTTTCTGTCTGTTTCTTATTCTTCAATTGATGATTAGGAGCTAACACTGTTATAGTATGCATAGTATAGAGAAGAACTTAAATACTGCGCAATGGCCGTTGTCATTGGAGCGCGTTTTCATCTCAGAACTTGGCGCTGTGCTCCATTTTCATAACATGTGTTCTTTTCTTGTTTGAATCGTGGACCTTTCCTCTTTTAGATGTTCTGTACTGTCTCGGTTTTGCTCGTTATTTGTCATTTTGTGATTGTTTCATATTGTTCACCTTCCAGAGTGCAATTCTTGTGGAAAAATGTCCGGTGGAAGCGGTGTTCCTCTGTCGGATCGGCTAAACGTGGAAAAAAACAAGCTGGACGAGAGCATCAGAGACTATCGGTATGTTAATTTGTCTTTTTGTCGAAAAAGTGGCAAGATATGACCAGTTCTTGGCGCTGTTGCTCAGTCTATCGGGAGTGTTGACCATGCTGGTCGAAACATTATGCTTTAAAAATGTCATTGGGTGTTTACGATGGTGTACGATGAGAGGCTCAATTAGGAGTTTCATTCTTCGATGGTAACAAATGCTGCTGGACGCACCGCAGTGTTGGTGTCTCTGTTACAAAGTTATCCTAGCTCTCTCAACTCAATCCTTTAGGCATAATATGAACGGAGGCGATCATGCTGAAACAAATGGAGGCGATTTAAGCCGGATCTAGCTACTTTCCCTGCATTGAAAAGGATTGCAAATACATAGGGATAAACGCCGCAGCACTTCACAAGCACTGTAAAAGATGCGACCCAAGGATTGTTGATCATTTCAATCTCTTCACTTGTTAATTCTTAATTTTTTCTTCTTTCATTTTTCTCACTTTATATCAAACGTTTGGTCATCATCTCTTCAAGGCGCCACACTGCCATGATCTCTTAGGCTGAGTTGCTCTTTTTTTCTAGGTAGAACGTACTCATCATGTTTATGGACATTGACTTGTTATGCTACGAGGTGTTCTAGATCAAGAGTTTTTCAGGCCATTCATATTCTAGGACATATTGAATTTCTGTCTAGTTTCAATTGTTGTCCGTTCGTTTTCGAATTGAATAATAGAAACTAAGGAGTAAACATTTCTTCGATCATCCTTTTGGTATTTGTACACAGACATATGATAAGTGGTGAATGGTACCATCACTAGACGAGGAAGCGTTTAAAGACATGACTCTGAAAGAAGGGGGAGGGGCGCTTTTCTACTTTATACAGCCCAGAAATCTATAATCTCTGAAATTCGGTGAAACTTCGCAAGAGGGTAGGGAACTATCTGACGAATTGAACTCGAATATCATGTCAACTTCGCGCGGTACGGGTTTTTTTTTCAAATCTAATACCCCTAAAATACACCTTTGTGCGTTGGGCTTATGTATGCGTTTTCTAATTGAGCAAAACCACTCTTTCAATGCGTGTCGATGTCAAAGTCGAGGACAGCATGTTGGAGTAGCTCCCCTCCTCCCTAACGATACCATATATCTCAGCAACCTTTCCAGAAAGGCCCTCTTTTGCGAATAATTATCCTTTTCGTTCAGTAAGTCAATAATCCCCACTATGCTAGCCTTTTACAGTCCGTCGCATCCGAAATGTAAGCGAAACTCCCCATCGTATTGAAAATGTGAGCGAAACTCAAGTCCCAAGTCGAAAACGCGCTCCAATGACAACGGCCATTTCGCAGTATTTAATTTCTTCTCATAGTATAGGCTGAGAGGCCAGCCCGCGCGTAGTGGGTGATTGGATTGCGTGGGGCTGTCGTTGTGGACCTGCACTCATTGTTTACGCGGTCGAGAAAGGCAATGGTGGATTTGGCTGCATGATCAGGACCCAGCGTTGCTGTACCCTGCTGTGCTTTCTCACGTCTATGGGCCACAGCTCTGGTCAGTATCCCTGGTATGAATTTTATCTTTAGATTCAAAAAAACTAGAGCAGTCTTTTCATGGTGCATATCCTTGCCCAAAACCTCAATCCCCTCGAAAAAAGCAATCATGGGAGCAGTTCTTTGCGATTTGTGCTTTTTCGAATTGGCAGATGCCAGTGATTTAGTTGTTGTGTGCTGTGTCAAGGGAAATTCTTCCTCAGTTACATCTCCAATTTCTCGCTAACATACATCATTTTTGGGCCCGCTATATAGCGATGATTCCGAAAGCCAGTCTTTGATGCTTTAGATATATGAGAATTGGTCACGGATGCAATGATGCAAACTTCGCACTAGGCCGTCTTTAGTGTTTATCTTCCTAATGATAATCCGCGGTGTAGAATGTTAATAAAGGTAATAAACTTATTCCACCCAATAATTTCTTATATCACATCTATTAACTTCCATTGCTTCGTGATCCTCTGCACGGTTTTTCGAAAATTAGGTTCTAACGTAAGTCCTGTCACACTCTAATAAGTCATAAAATCATATTTTCAATAGGGTTCCAGGGCAAAAGAGCAAAAGAGCAAAGCAAGCTTTACAAGATAGTGTGCACCCAAAATCTGTGTCATACTGAAGGCTCAAAAAATCACAAAAAATTCATATCTTCGTTTAAAAAAATCCTACGGATCTCAAACTAGCTTACAAAAATTGCAACCTACATCAGAGACTAATACCATTCCTGTACTTTCTCTTCATCTAGGAAATGAGAAAGCGAAAACTTTTACGTTTATACAAAACGAAGCTAGGCTTTCATGTAAATGTGAACTACAATCTCTTTATAATATAACCGTGAATTTTCACCTTTTTACAATCCCTAATTTTCGTGTAGTATTGATATTAGATGGAACACTTGAGTGAGGAGAGCTAAATTCGGTAATATTCGAAAACTAAGGCTTGTGGAAAACTGAAAATCTACGGTTATACTCCTAAGGGCTTGTAGTATACAATTACATGAGTGAAGACGGCGTAACTTTTTTGTATAAATCTCTCTATATAATAAGGCGCACGGTGTCTTACTGAAGCATTCCCCCCCTCGTGAGATGTCAACAAGTTTGTCGTTGCGTGCCGCTGCAGGGTTCATGACTCATCACTACGCCAGTGATGTCCGACCTAGACGATGTTGATGACCTAACCTCCAAAGTGCAATCTCGAAAAAGTTAAAAGCTGTAAGCGGTAACATCGATTGATTCTGTCATCATAATACGACGTCTCTGTTTTCGGTTGCAGTAGCACCTCTACTCGAGTCATCGGAACAGGTCAGATATCAGCCCCCTCATTTAGCATTTTCTAAGAAGAACCTCAGTTTAATGTCCTTCGGTTTTTTGGAATTTTCTAGAAGCAGTTCTCGCTTGGCAGAAGCTTAAACTTAGTCGAAAATTCTTACGGTAATCCTACAGTAAATAAGAGAAATCGGTGATTCGCTCCATACTGTAAATCTAAGTTAAACCCAGCTCTACCATATGACACTCAAAGATCCGCGGAAGATTTTCAAAGGAAGTTATTGAAGAAACGTTCGATACATCTTTTTGGGACACTCTGTATAATTCTTCTATAGAAAGTTGCAGTTTAGTCCAAAGTGCTTCTCAAGCGACCATCACCTTTCGAATTAAGAAGTTTTTGATTTCTCATGGTGATGGTCGCTTGAGAAGCACTTCGGACTAAACTGCAACTTTCTATAGAAGAATTATACAGAGTGTCCCAAAAAGATGTATCGAACGTTTCTTCAATAACTTCCTTTGAAAATCTTCCGCGGATCTTTGGGTGTCATATGGTAGAGCTGGGTTTAACTTAGATTTACAGTATGGAGCGAATCACCGATTTCTCTTATTTACTGTAGGATTACCGTAAGAATTTTCGACTGAGTTTAAGCTTATGCCAAGCGAGAACTGCTTCTAAAAAATTCCAAAAACCGAAGGACATTGAACTGAGGTTCTTCTTAGAAAATGCTAAATGAGGGGGGCTGATAGCTGACCTGTTCCGATGACTCGAGTAGAGGTGCTGCTGCAATCGAAAATAGAGACGTCGTATTATGATGACAGAATCAATCGATGTTACCGCTTACAGCTTTTAACTTTTCGCAGACTGCACTTTGGAGGTTAGGTCATCAACATCGTCTAGGTTCGGACATCACTGGCGTAGTGATGAGTCATGAACCCTACAGCGGCACGCAACGACAAACTTGTTGACATCTCACGATGGGGGGGGGAATGCTTCAGAAAGACACCGTGCGCTTTATTATACAAAGAAAGTGATTTTCCTCAACCTTTCCAAAATCAAATCAATCTGTAAATTTCACAATCTCTGCCAATTTCACTTTTACTGATAAAGGCGTTCCCGTTCGAGTTCGGCAACGGCAATTTCCCCTTCGACTTGCTTTTGCTATGACCATCAACAAGGCTCAAGGCCAGAATCGAATGTAGGAATACATATCGGAACTGAAGTCTTTTCTCATGGGCAGCTCTATGTTACTCTCTCACGAGCGCGAACAAAAGAAGGTGTAAAAGTGCTCAAAAACGGTATGAGAGTAAGAAACATTGTGATCAAAGCGGTGCTCTAAATTCCTATGACTAATTAAACAGAGGTAATGCGTTCTCATCTTCTTTTTTACATCACACATCGTCGTAACATCCCAACACTCGCCTTTTAGGAATCATATCTTAGGCCAATGGCTCAAAATTAGTAATTTTGTTCTTCTAATCTACAATGACTGGAGAAAATTTGACTCGTATTGCTGTCTTTCCCTTTCAAGAGCTCAATCATTGAAGATCCCACTGCTGAACTTTACTGAGAGATTTGTTTCCATTTGTACATGAATCTTCGTACTGAATGCTTTTTGCCTAATGCCTGATACTCCATTATAGTGCATATATATCAGAAAACCACATTAAAATCGAAACTTTTCTCCGTGTCTTCGCTCACGCTATCCTGTTGTAGACATCAGCAAAGAGTACTGTTTTGTACTATAACACATAAAATTCAATAATGTGAAGCAGATTACAAGCTTTTCCCGAAACTTGAAAATTATCAATGTTGCAGTCAGATAAATTACAAACCCCTGATTCACTTGAACCATGGTTCATTTTGTCATAAAGCGTTCTCTTCTAAACTATAGCAGAATTCCTTTTCAATAAAATGTGATGAAAATGAAACATCCCACCGCGGCGGGAGACTGTGGACGTAAACAAGTTTGTCGGTTTGCGCCGGTGCAGGCGTACCGAGCTGATGACTCATCATGCAGATGCCTATCTTAAATGATGTTGATCAACAGCCAAAACTAACAGAGTGCAATCATCAAGTAGCTGAACCCAGTCGGTGGTAACATCGATTAAAACCGCCTGCAAAAGGGAAATTTGGGGTTTGCTTACAGATATCAGAGATCACGAGTTTGGACGAGATTTAGCAGAAAAACTTCGATATTGAAGAATTTGTCAGTAAGAGTGAATCCGGAGCGTTTTTCTTCGAAGAAAAAAAGATCGAGGAAACTTTTCTCGACGGTTTTGATTAGCGCCATGAGCTGCGTATGCATGCATTTTTGAAATGTATTCGACTTCAAACTTCAAGGATAAGGTAAAGGTAGGTATTGTGGTAAGATTTTCGCAAATTCCGAAGAAGAGAAGGGTTATAAAGGACTGTGGGCACTCTACTGAAGTTTTTCTGAGAAAAGGGTAAGCACTTCAAATATGCCTTTCAGAATAAGAAAGAGGTGTTGAGAAGAGATAAGATAAGGATTCAATCTGTCAAAAACTAACGATAATGAATCCTTAAGCATTTTTCTGAGAGAAGCTTGAGGCCAGCAGAATGTTTCTATGTGTTTGAAAACCATATGGAAGAAACAAGTGACAAAATAAGAAAAGTTGGAGAGTCAGATCACCTCACCTTTTGAGGATATCTTTGATCGAAGAACACTCAAAAATTGTGGGCACTTTATTAGGAAAGCCTTTCGAAATGAAAGGACAGTTTTGCTTAATAAGCTTCGAGAGTAGGGAACGGGAGGTGGGGGAACGGAAAGGGGGACTTTACGTGCAATCTGGCAAGGAACTCTCTATTTCCCTTCAGGTTTGATTCGCTGAAAACTATCCTTCTGATTTGATTCATGCCAGCTGCGCATAGGTTCTGCCTTTCAGACACTACAACTCAAAAGCAGTTGCTCGGCAGAATGACAACCTTGGGATATTCGTCGTTCTTGGCACCCCTGGATGAGCTGAGTCTCAAACTGTGCTTTGCAGCTTTTAAAGATATCAATAGCTTGCTTTTTCGGACGTGGAAATTGTGTTTGGGCGGATAGCGAAAACTCGTTTGTTCGTAGAACGATTGGCTACTGGAACCATAATCTAATTACCGTCAAGATGGGTACGATGTCTCTACCCAACCAGGCTATACAAGCCAATCGCTTCCTAGAGGACAGCCTTTCGTCTTCCACCCTCCTTTTTTTACGTCTGGAAAAGCGAGTTATTGATATGTTTTGAAGCTGCAAAGCACATTTTGGAGTTCGCCCATTCCAGGAGAACCGAGAACGACGAATACAAGTCGCCGATCTGTTGAGCGGCTGCCCTTAACGTCACCAACTGCCCGACAGGAAGCACTGACAAAACTAAATCCTACGTCATTCTTGCGGCTTTACACATCGTCTCACAATTTCGATAAGCGAAGTTATTACGGTCCTAAGATATCGTATACGCTACGAGCAACAAACATGTAAAACTCATTTAGGCTTCACTTGATGGAGTTCCCACGATCAGCAAGCATCTGTGAGACATAACGTATGGCGGAGAAATAATCGCAAAACTTTAACGCACATCCCACTCCACACACGGCCAGACCAAAGTGCCGCGAAGCGGCACTTTGGTCTGGTATAATATATGTGTAAATAAAAAATTTTCATATTGTCGATTTCAAGCTGAAGAAAACAGAAACGGTACATATGAGTGTCTGTTTAAGTGTGCAATTTTTATGAGCAAGTTGGAGATTCGTAGGATTTCACTGAATCAAGATATGAATTTTTCGCAATTTTTTTCGGCCATCAGTACGACTCAGATTTTGCATGCAAACTTACTGGTCGAAAATGGTGCGAACTTATGCGCACCTGCTTGTAGAGCTTGCTTTGCTCTATCAAATGGTATCCTGGACCCCTATTGAGAATTTGAACTGTATGAATTATCGCCATAAAAGTTAGAGTGTAACAAGATTTGTGTGTTACAACTAAGGTTGAGACTAACTATCACTGCCCATTGGTTGCCAGAGAGCGTTAGTAATCATGGATTCTCAGGTGAAAATGTAAATGAATCTTACATCATGAGAAAGCTAGAAACGCACGACTACGGGCCAAAACATGCAAAATCTTTCATGAGATAGCAAGATTTCAACAATATAAAAGGCGCCATTACTTTTCAGGTAATCGATGGGGTAGGGGCGGGCATCGGAGAAGCCTATGAATGATTTCCCGCAATTCGCTTGCAGATTTAGAAAAAATCAACAGTTTTTGTGTTCTAACAGAGATTGCTTGTTTATTTCTTCCTTAACTTAGAGAGCATCTTTCAATACTGCGGGCGGGGAGCGAAAAGTGAAAAACGCGCATTTTGCGCTGCCCGCTTGTCGATTGTTTGGGCTGTTCCCTTGAATGCTTTAACAAAGGAAGGATACTTGGTGATCGTGGCAGCGAGATGTATATCAGTAGTTGCGCCTCGGAATGCTGATCCCAAAATGTCTTCTTATCTGCTGTGCTACTTTCTGAGCGAAGTTATGGACTTTTCTCCATATTTGTTTCGCAAGATCTAAGCGGCTATAATCATTAGTATTCAGGCTTTCCAAGCTCTGATATATCGGAGACAGTTTTCCTGTGCCCAATTTGAATTTTCATTTCATTTGGACGCTCTTTCGTAGTGCGTAAGTGAACATTCTAACACTATTGTTGAATCCTGCAATCGAAACAGTGAAAATTTTGGTGGCAAGAAATGTTCATAACACGTTTCGGAAATGCACGCAGCAGGCACCAAAAGCAGATTTGGAATCAGCGTTTTAAGATGCATTTAATGGTGTACGTTTCATTGCACAAAAGTTCACAGTCACCAAGTATCCTTCCCTTGTAAGCAGTGCGCTGTGACAAACCTCATTCTGAGCGTAAAAAGAAAGTCTCGTTCTTTCCACATTACATTGTTCACCGCTGTATCCTTCGTCGCATTGACAGTAAGCCTAGAAAAATTTTATAATCAATTTGACAACATCAAAAGGAGCTTATGAAGCTAAGCCAGCTTTTTGCACGTACAAAACTCCGGGCTTTACAACGCTTACGTGATATCATTCTATAATAAAGAATGGCAAGGTTTTGCACTTACATGTTGACAAGTTGCAGACTGAGGCGAGTGATTGCGGAGGGTGCGGAGGGTGCAGATTGTCTACAAGGCTAGCGTGTTTTCGTAGGGGTACAGGGGGTGGTAAATATCGACTCTTTTCAAGGAAGGCGTCCAAAAGGGGTGCGGTTCTTAAGTGCAAAAAGGCTATAGTTGGGAAGGGGCCGACACTCTCGTAAGGTTGCTAACAGTACCCCCCCCCCCTCTTTCGCAACTTTCAACTCTCTGTTGTATGATTGATTGACTTCGTGTGCTATGGGTTATCGGTTGGTTCTTTGCCTTTACTTCGTGCCAGACTCTCTTTTATAGGGTTACTGGGTGGTTCTTACTTCGTCATGACTTCGTGTTAGTCTCTGTTCTGTATCGTAGTTATCATCATTGAGAATGATCACGACCATCTTATACATTCTGTAGTGATTCGTCAACGTTTTCCTTCCTGTTCATTGAAAATCAGTGATGACTGATGCACACCTTTGTTGTTTGTTTTTGTAGGTCTATAAGCGTCTCGTAGAGCAGTTCTTGCATGTCAGTCTGTGAGCAATCCATGGATCAGTTGTACCTCTCAATTATCTGTCTGTATAGGGTTCGTGGCATAGTTTTTGGCGTATAGGGCACTTCTTACAATAATCGTTTGTAGGGCGCTTCTTTTTCGGACATGGGCTTGTAGTTAGCCTCAAAGTATCTCTGCAAGCAACGCAACGGGCTTTTCACCCGTAGACAGCGGTTATTAGGCGCAGTTCCTCCTCAGATATTGGTCTATTTGGGGCGTAAAATATCATCATAAAATATCATTCGTATTTTTTTCAAAGGTTTTGTAGGGTGGTTTTCCTCTAATATAGTTCTCTAAGTGCCTCATATCATCATAAATTATCATTCGTATGAAGTTCACTATTGGTCTGCGTGCATCCCATAGGGCACCCTTTTTGAAGAGACGGTCTGTAGGCGGCCCATTGGCAAATCTTTTCTTATAATATCGGTCTATAAGCTCCCTATGGGGCAGTTTCTCTGACGATTATCGGTCTGCCCATAGGCAGCTTTTTCTTGGTATGCCGGTCTGTAAGAAGATCATACTGCGGTTCCTTCCTTGAAATGGTTTGTAGACCCTATGGGGAAGATCTCTAGATTTTGATCTGTAAGGGCTTATAGGGTAATCCTCTTCAAAATATTGGTGTGGTAAGCGGTCCATAGGCAGTTTTTTCTGTATTTCGCTAATATCGATGGTGACTCATAGGACTGTTTTTCTCAAAATTTTGTTCTGTAGTTGATCTAAGACAGTAGGATCCTAGGTTTGCTATCGCCCTGTAGGCGGTTATGCAGCTCCTTCTCTTATGAGAAAGGTTGCAAACGGCACATAGGATATATTAGAAAACAATGTTTTTTCTTGTCAGATTTCGAGACAGGGCATTTTCTTGAGTTCTTTTATCGTCGACTTGAGATTCGGGCTCTTTAGGCTGCGTTCATACTGATCCTGAAGTCCGGGAACAGTTCCAGCACAGGGCTCAATTCGAGCGCGGTGCTGGAATTGTTCCCGAACTTCCTGTTCAGTGTGAACGCAGCCTTAGGCCTTGGGCAGAGTTCACGCGATTTCATCGTCGCGATTTATCCCAACAAGACAAGTGTTACGAGTTAATTGCATGCCTGTCTTCTTGTATTTCGGTTATGATAGTTAGTCACGATTAGTCGTGTTGGAAAACTACCACAGCCGAAATGCAAGAAGATCGGCATGCAACGATATTGCTAAAGTTGTCTTGTCGCAATGAAATCGCGTGAACTCTATTCGAGGCCTTAGATGACTCTCAATGCAATTGTTGGAGATCTGCCAAAAATGATTTTTAGAAAGAAATTGAATACTTTTATCAATCATTCTGTATTGCCTAGAGCGGTGTGATGCAGTAGAACAGTCCGAATTATGCCTCTCTTCGGTGCTAAAGTGACAGCGGCAGACTAAGGAGGGGGGTTATGTCCGCATGAGATGTTGAGAGAGAGGGAGAGCGCCGTGAAGAGGAAGGATTCTATTCCGAAAACTTGGCTAAGAAAATTAGAGAGAACAATAAGAAAACGAATCCCTATAACTTTGCTTGAGAAAAGCAGGAGGAAAATGAGAGACAGTTGCGAAGTCCGCTCTCCATGACTTTTGTTAGTAAGGTAAATGAATTACAACATAATTTTCAGATAGAAAATTCCCATGATTTTACTCGAAGAATCACTGGAGAGATATATAAGGTGTGTTTGGATCAGCATCTCAAAAGGCAGCCTTAAACTGTAATTCTAAATCATAGTCGGAACGCTTATCAAATAAGTAAGATTAACGTTCAAAAGATCCGGCATAAAATTCGATAGTCTCAAAAACTGAAATTCAAGCTGATCACCGACCAATCCTTGTAGGATCCAGCATCTTCAACACGTTCTCGATACTGTATTCCAACAACGAGCTATCAAAATTGAAACGACTTTCATATCACATTAACGCAACATTTCCATACAGTTCCCGGACTTAGGCCTTATTCGAGTGAGTATCGTAAGCAAAGACTTTGACCTCTATATCCACAGATAGGGCATGAGGACCCGTTTTTTGACTATCTAACGATGAACCGCTGCATTTCGTTTTGGATGCGAGTTTAATCCTGTTTTGAAAATACAGAATCTTCTTGCTCTTTGAACTGATGTCGTTCTAGAGTTGAGCGACTTAACTGACGACTTCGGTTTCGGACAGTCATAAATGAATGAAGTTCTAAAACTCGAGCGGTTTTGCTTGTAGTTAACGTGTTTTTTTTGGCAGAGTCAGTATAATGGGTGTGAGATTATCCTAAACTAGCTGGCTTACCCGGCTCCGCCGTATGTTCCGAATAGAAAATTCCATTTCTCAACCGATCCGGACCAAACTTGGCACACATACACTTCGGGCCCCGGCGGGTGTCACAGTCCACTTTTCGTTATCGATCGATGTCGATTTTATCAATTTTTTGCAAAATTTGAGCTAGGGGGCTGGGATTTGGCACAGGGGGATAATCGAGCATGCTGATTACGAATACATTATTAGTTTTCGAAACAAGTAATGCACGATTTCAAAAACTAATATTGTATTCGGAATCCCCAAGCTCACTTACCCCCCCCCTGTGCCAAATCCCAGCCCCGTAGCTCCAATTTTGCAAAAAATTGATAAAATCGACATCGATCGATAACGAAAAGTGGACTGAAGTTTGGTCCGGATCGGTTAAGAAATGGAATTTTCTATTCGGAACATACGTACACACAGACAGACAGACATACATACATACATACATACATACATACATACATACAGACAAACAGACATTCAGCTTTATATATAAGATGAGGACCTGCACTTTTAGCTTTTATTTCACAAAATGCAGATCAAAAATGTCTCACTTGTTTCTTAAGCGTTTTCCCGAGCGATACAAGCAATACTTTTTTTGAGAATCCCTCTGTGATTTCTTTTCAAGTCTTGGGCCAAATTCACTCCGCAGTGCTCCCCCCTTTATTTATTTCCTGCGGACATACGCAGTTAAGTTTTTGGTTCCTCCTGTGCGTCCTCCGCGGAGTGAGGGCAGATACATTACTCTATGCCATCAGTAACATTTTCGTAAAAGTCAGTAAAACAGTTTGCATTGTTTACATTCTGCGCGCATTGTCGCCTTCGAGGTGCCCTCCTTCCTATTTTGTTAAACTGCTGTTATTTTTTTCTGAGATATTGATTTGAGGGTTTGTAGTTAGCTCTTTTTTGATATGTTGGTCTGTAAGCGGCCCATAGGGCAGTTCTTTCCCAGAATAATGGTCTGCAAGAGTCCCATGGGGCGTCGCAAAATGTCGGTTTGCAAGCCTTCCCCTCCCATAGGGCGGCTTCTTCCAGTGCTTATCGCTTTGCAGGCGACCCATAGGGCAGTTTTTTTTCTTGAAATATTGGTCTGAAGAACTTCATGGGGCAGTTCTTTATCAAAGGTATCGGTTTTTAGGTGGCCCGTAGAGCAGTTCTATCACAAAATATTGGTTTGTATGGATTCTAAGGGCGGTTTTTCTTCAAACTATCAATGTGTAGGTCTTTAAGTAGCTGGTAGCTTCATTTTTCATTTCGGTCTTTGGCTGTCCACAGAGCAGATCGCACGTGAGCGCCTCGTAGGGCAGTACAATTTGTAGCGTTGTAGGGTAATTCAGAATATTGGGCTGATCCCCATAGGGCAATGCTTTTTCATAATTATCGGTCTGGCGGAGGAAGGGAGGGGTGGGGGGGGGGTCGTAAGATGTAGGGCGGCCTCAGCGCGGTTCTTTCTTAGGGCCGCATGCACTAACATCCCCGCGGGGAGGGGATCGCAGCTTAAAAGAAAGCTTTATATTTCGAAACTCCAGATACCTAGGTTTCACGTTGTGTACCTATCCGTAAGTATTCCTACTACCCTTCACTATGAACATGTTGAAGGGGAGCGAGAAGCTGCACAAACCGCATTTTCCAGCTTTAGTATGATCCCTGATGATCCCCGGCGCTTTTCTTTAAAGTCATTTTTCTTCCTCCAAAGTCAATGAAAAGTTTCCAAAGTTGTGAAGATTATCTAACCCAACACTGCTTAGCATGTCGCTGATAAGAACAAGTGATGTATAGGAGTCATGGAATTTTCGATGATCCACAGCTCGAAATTTGAGGTTTACCGAAAATTTTGACTTTTCAAAAACTCATTTGTTCTCATCAGCAACATGCTTAGCACTGTTGTGTTAGATGTTCAGTACAACTTTGAAAGGTTTTCGTTAATTTCGGAGAAAGAAAAATGACTTTAAAGAAAAGCGCCGGGGATCATAAGGGATCATACAAAAGCTGGAAAATGCGGTTCGTACAGCTAAATTAACGAAAACCTTTCAAAGTTGTATTGAACATCTAACACAACAGTGCTAAGCATGTTGCTGATGAGAACAAATGAGTTTTTGAAAAGTCAAATTTTTCGTACAGCTTCTCGCTCCTGTTCAACATGTTCATAGTGAAGGGTAGTGGGAATACTTACGGATAGGTACACAATGTGAAATCCAGGTTTCTGGAGTCTCGAAATATAAAGCTTTCTTTTGAGCTGCGATCCCCTTCCCAGCGGGGAGGTTAGTGCATGCGGCCCTTAGGTATGGGTTTGTTGGGGGGGGGGAGAGGGGAGAGGCTTTTAGAGCAGTACTTTCTAGAACCTGTCTATAAGCTTCCTACAGGGCAGTTTCTTTTTTGTAAAGGTCGGTCTGTAGGGACTTGTAACTTCTCAACACATCGGTTTATTAATGGTCCATACAGTCTGCTCCAATTGGGATCAGGCCAATCGTCGCTGTGAATTTGCGCGCTCGCAGCGCTAGCGGTCTGCGCTGCATAGGCGCGCTGTCAGAGGGAGCAAAAGGATTGAGGAGAGAGCAGAGAAGCAGGCCGTGGGCGTGACCGCGAAACCCTAGCGACGCGGACTCCCGCCATGCCAGTTTTGGCCTGGTTAGGATTGGGGCAGACTGTAGGTCCTTTTCTTCTTATAATTACCTGCCTGCAGCGGCGCATGGTACCCTATTTTCAGGTGTATAAGCCGCGGGGTGGTCCTAGCTTACATCGACCAGCCCGAACACATCAATGGATTTCGCATCCAGAAAACCCTACACCGTGCTGCGTATTGCCCGAAAGAATCGTGCGGCATAAGGATCGCTTTTTCAAACACAATGAAGCGGCTGAGCAGCTTGGGCGAAAATTCGAAAAAGTGCGGCTTATACACCTGAAAATAGGGTAGTTGGTCTCTAATATATTGGTTTGTGGGGATGAAAGATATGTTTAGCAGCTCATAGCTTTTCTTGTTCTCAAAATATTAGCTTGTAGTATACATAGGGCGGTTGCTTCCTATGATATTAGTCTCCAAATGGCTCTTAGGGCATTTTTTGTAAGTTGGTTTGATTTGAAGGGCAATTTCTTCTTGAAAAGTCGGTCTATGTACGGCCCACAGGGCAACCTTTCCTCGAAGTGAAGGTCCGTAAGCGGCTCATAGATTCCTTTTTCATGGGCAGTTTGAAAATTTTCTTTTTTCTGAAAAATATCGGTTCGTAAGCAGCAGCAGGGCAGTTACTCAAAAATGAGGATGTTTATGCGGCCCATAGGGCACTTCCTTTTCCTTCTAATGACTGATTACCGTCCGCGGGCAGCCCCTAGGGCAGGCTTTTCCGTCTGAGCGGCCCATACGGCTTCCTTGCAATATTGGTTTGCGGGGGGGGGGGGGGAAGGGTGTATGACAGATTTATCCCAGACTTATAATATTATTTGTGGTTCGTGTATGAAAGATTTATCCCAGACTTATAATATTATTTGTGGTTCGAAGGGCAGTATTTTCTCAGATTACCACTCTATAGGAGGACAGCTCTGACGTATAGGCCGTACCAACCAGCATCGGATATGCGACGTCGCGTCTGCAGCAACTTGCGACTGTGCGGTGTGACGCATGCGGACTCTGCTACGCGTTGAGGCCGTCGCATGCGACGGTGCGTTCTCGCAAAGCATACCAGCGCGGGACCGATGCTGGTTGATACAGCCTATATATCGCTCTGTAGGCATTACGGGAGCGGTGTTCATTCACAAAAAGTGGTCTGTAGGCGACACGTAGGGCATGAGAAAAGATGCTTTTTCTCGCTGCCGTAATTTGTCGGGAACTAAGGTATATTTTTGAGTGTTTAGCTAACATTAAGTTATTGTAGACTACATCGTTGTTTCGAACGACTGCTTGGTGACTTCCAATGGAGAATGGTGAAAAAAATTTGGCTCAAAGAAATTTTTTAAAAGGTCAAACAATATCGTCTAATCAGCAAAGAGGATTTTTGGAAGAGAGTCAAAGGTCATTGTTAATCAGTCTCATGTTTTTCGGAACTAACTTCAGAAAAGGTATAGAACGTAGAGGTAATTGTGGTGACAAAATATAGAACGTAGAGGTAATTGTGGTGACAATTATTCGGCCAAAATGTATTGCCCGAACCCATTTGCAAGCGGCCCTTAGTGTCGCTAGTATTGAATAAAACTTGGTAGCATATAAGCAAAATTGAGTATTTTCGGGGTGTACGACTCAGGCGATCGCTAATTACTTCCGGGGAATACAGAATTTCTAAAACTTCTGGAGCGGAGCTCCTATTGGGCCGTGGACCCTGCTCTACCTGGCTCCGCCCTACCTGGCAGCTTCAATAGAATCCCCCGGAAGTTTTAGAACTTCAGTTTTCCCGGAAGTCATTTGCGATTGTCTGAGAATGAGATTGCAATGCAAATAATATGAGCATCCTGTGTGGTACGCAGCTTTACAATGAACTGATCCAGATACGATTTCAGCAAGATCCAACGTCGTTGCTCCGCTCAGATTCAATGCGTTTTCAGTTGAACAAGGTATTGATCAGGTTTGGTATATTAGAATGTTATATTAGGTCAAAAAATTTAGTCGTGAAAGAACGTACCTTGTCTAATGCTGATACGCAAGTTCCATTGACTCCGCATTGTAAACCACTGAGTTGGCATTGATCCGGAGGTGTGCAGCAAGTGTGACCCCACAATCATAGATGGTTGAGATTTTTTTGGCGGAGCCAGTTAATGCTATGCACGACTCACAGACCACTCAGTTTTGCAAACACATAAAAAGCTTCCATCACTTTCCCGGCAGGCCTCCGTTCCCAGAAAGTCACAGTCGCTGCACGACTTAGGATTTGCGTCTATCAAATCTCCATCGGCTTCTGCATAACCTGTATTGGCACACTCTATTCATCTGTTATTAGAGCAAGCAAAACGTATTACACATGACTACCGAATATAACCTCTCTTTTGCTCTTTTTCTGAATACGACCGCATCTAAGCGAAAATAAGCAAAATGCGAACAACGTTCACAGAAAAGTTTTGAAGCAACGAGAATTTCCGATTTCGTAACTAGTGTCCGTGGCGCACGATGATAGAAAAGTTTAGCTACGGTTTTCCTGCTTTGAACCTATAGTACAGCAAGGAAACTATCTGTCAACACAGTATAGGACTAGTTAGAACAAAGGTGCAAAGTTTTGAGCAACTCAGAAGCATCCCATTATGATATTGCATGTATTCAGGGTGATTACTCTGACGGAAGAAGAGAGCTTCACATCATATTCTATTGTGAGGAAAACGGCCAAGTTTGTAATTTTCAAGACGGGAAAGTGCGAGAAGGGTAAGTCAAAGAGGTAGCAACTGAAGTATAAAACGATAATAGCCAAGCTTTCTGCGTGCTGCACTCGCCATTGGCTTCAACTCAGACATTGTCAGGTGAGCTCAAAGTCATTCTATTCAAACCCCTCATCTAATAACAACTATAGGCTGCTGCATGACGAGGGCGCAATATCTTTAGGCTCAACGCTTTATTAGCCGCAGAGCGCATGAGGCGCAGGATTTACATTGGTAAAGATACGCTCGCGTCGCGTTCGCGCCTGCTCAACTAATAATGCTTCTGCGCCCTCGTCATGCAGCAGCCTTTACTTACTTTTCTTGACTAATGATTTGGAGGCAAAGGAGGGCGACGGTCGAACTCATGAATAACTGAATAAATCCATTCTTCTTATGATCCGAAGTTTTTCTCTACGAACAAATCAAAAAGGTATTACTTTCTTTTCAGATAAAAGCGAACTTTCCCCAAGAAAAGGTAGCGTGTGCGCCAACGACACATTTTTTAAAGGTGAATAAAGAACTAAGCGTAACAGGAATTTTGCAGAAATCCACGATTCGTTTCATACTGACTGAAGGGGCGTACCCGCTATCCGACCCACCTGTGTGCCGTACTACTCCGCACAGTACGGCACACAGGTGATCCAAAGCGGACTAAAGAGCTAGGTCATCTTCTACGTTTCGCTAAGACCTGTCTGACCTTAAGATTCCTTACGAAATCTTCTTTGAGATATAAGCAATTTATCTCAGATACATTTACCGGACCGGCTGGTGACCGGGCGAAGAAGGACTTCCGGTCGAGAGCTGCGCCATGTTTTGGGGCGGAGTCTAAATCCGGCCGAGGAGCGGGCGAAAAACTGCTACTGACTGGCTTTCGGCCGTGTACGCAAGAGCGCGCGAAGGCCAGAATGTGATGCCTACCGTTAGGATGTATGGCGAGCATAAGATTTCGCCACTAGCGCGCGCCTTGCCTCACCTTTTGATTCTTGCTATCTATCTGTGATTGTTCTTGTATTAACTTGTCTCATTCTTTGTCTTTGCTCTTGCATTATGTGTTATCGCTCATCTTTGTTTTCAGCAGAATAGGAAAGGTCCCTTCATTGTAATGGTTGTCTCTGAGAATGCTTAGAGTAATTTAATGTTATTTTCTTTTTGTTCGGTCGCTGCAACTTCATACTAAAGAAATGCGCAGATTGGAGAGGTACGTAAGCATCTGTTTTAAATTTCTTTGTCACCACAATAATGTTTTCATAAACATGTTTCAGAATTTGGAGTGCACCTAGTTCGGAAGTGGCGTGCTTGAGTCTACTATTGATGGAGTATTCGCTAAGACTGTGCATGGATTATCTGCGTATTTATGTACCCCGGAAAAATTTTGCTCTATGAACTGTTCTTCAAACATCATGACGTCTAATACTTGCTCAGAGAACAAGTGCTTATACATAATGAATAGTCTGTACTGAATTGTTCCATGCATACCTCAACAGATGAGATGAATTTGTATTTTTTGTGTAAAGACTTGTTTATTCTGTTCAGAGCTGGAAACGATGACGAATGTGATGTTAGAATAGTTACTATGTGCCACATGTTATGGGACTTGATACATATGGAGAACAACATGATGATAGTAGTTATCGTACAATGTTGTTGTAAGCTATTCTTTTCATCCATACTTTGAGGTTTTTATATTATACAGGCTACTTTGAGGTTTTTATATTATACAGGCATCATACTGTTACGTGAGATAAGCATTATGGTCTACAAGAGAAAAGGTGTCCCGCTTTTTGGTACTGAGCTCAATCCTACATGGGGATTGTCGCTTTTACATAGTGCATTGTTGATACATATGTCATGTGGTATATGCTGATCCAACATTGTGGCCGGTAGTAAACCCCCCCCCCTCTCTCCTGTCAGTGCATCTCTTCTGAGGTGGCCTAGGTTGGCCTTACGGCGCCTCAGCGCGGTGTCAAGCGAGCCATCGATCCGGTTGCGGATCGTTTTGTAGGCATAACAGAAACTGCATGTTCTTAAAGAAAAAACAGCTCGAGAGATTGTGCAGGTTTGGTCAAATGGCTAAAGCTAGTGTGGTACGCGCGGCAGCAGGGTTCGCGGGCGGCAGGTGCCGTCGTTTTTGCTATATTGCCAGGGCAATCTCCGATAGCAGCCACTATCAAAAAAAAACCGATGGTGGGCGCTGTCTTTGCTGCGCAAACGAGGACATAAACCAGGTACAATAACTTAGCATCAACATCCATGAAAAATCAGATTTTTAGAAGATAAAGAGAGAGTTTAATTTTTATTTTAAACATTCTTCGAAAAATGTGAAGCAACTTAACCCATTTTCGCTGCGAACAGCTGTTCATTGACCATCCCCATCCGTATGCCACCCTATTTGTGCAATTTCGGGCACTGTCGTCCACAGAATTAGCCAAATGACGTGTCCATTTAGTTACTCACGAGCAACTTACGAGAGTTGTGTCCGCGCCTCCTTTCAGACACACTATCTCCGTAAGCCAGGCTGACGGCGACGGCAGCTTAGGGCAGGTAGCGCAGCTCATTGCGGCAGCTGACCGGCACCTTGGCTGTCAGCTCATCGTCCATTCTTAATGCACTGTAGCAAGGGTGATTGTAAGATTAGCTTGCGATTTCTGCTGAGGGGGTCAGCGCAAACCATCTGAGCTGAGAGGGAGTTTACTACGGGCCTGTTTTTTTCTAATCGATGCTGATTCTGTGAGAACTGAACAAAATATTGCAAAGGATTTTTCTCGCATTGTATAAGAATAGGAAAAATAAAGTGTTGAGCCAAGAACTGATGGTAACGCTGGCCCCATTAACGATTTGCTACGCTGTAGCTGATTCCGGTTGGCGTCCACGCCATTTCCGCGGCGAGACCGGCTGGCGGGCGGCCGGCGGCCGGCTCGGCCGGAACTGAGGTGTTGGTCAGCAGGTTGTCGCCCGGTCACCAGCCGATAAATGTATCTGAGATCGTACGCAAAGACTGTACGTCGTTGCGTCCGCCAATTCGTGCATGCGAGAGACGGCAGACGGCAAGCGGGATGAAAGAGTGCTCGATCAGCGAGACGCCGACAGCATCCGCAGTACACCTTGTCTTTGCGTGCGATGAAATGAATATATTGAAATAATATAGATTGGAGGCCACAGGGTAAAATAATTATAAAATTTATAAAATGACGAATCAAAAAAGAGCAGAGTGTTACATTCGCCCGTGCCATCGCCAAATCAGGCGACAACCTGACGCAGTTGTCAATTTGATATTCAATGATGCAAAATCTATGACAGAAATTTTTATCTTTTTGGAGGAGTAGCTGACATCGAAAAATTCAGACCGTTTAAAAGGTAAGCCTACGTATTGCGCATCATAAGCCATTAAAGTTCCGTCATTTTAACCCCAGATGACAGTTTGAAGGCCCTTGTACAGACATTCCTAGACACCATCTGTTGTCACTTTTGGCGTCTGCCTTAAGACGGTCGGTATTCGGACGGTAATCAACAAGTGAATCACTTGGAGACTACCATTGGAAGAACAAAGCAGAAATTATATTAAATGTGTGTTAAGTAATGTCAGGTAAGAAGTACGGAAGTCCAACGGAAGTTCCGAAATTTCTCTACTCGATTTACAGATGAGAAAAGCAAACTGTGGGAACCTTTTTTATCTGATGCAAGTTTTTAAAGAACTGAATTATCACTGCATGAGCAAACAAACTAATAATTTCATATAATCGAAACTTAAGTACCTTCTTTTCCGCAAGTGTTGCTTGCTGTTTGGAGTTCCAGCATCCCTCTTTCATTGCACACCACTTCAACAACAATAGAATTATCTTTTGCACAAGAAACGCTGTAAGTGAAGTATTTACTGAACCTCACATGGTTATGCGCAAGGATATTTAAAAGGCTTACTACAGCGTTTCTCCACCCAGTAATTTGTTAGAAACTGCGGGGAATATCAATTCGCTGTTCATAGCAACAGTATCATTGTCAAGACGGCAGTGCACTTCTTGGCAGTACTCTGAATGATGCATTTTTGAAATCAGTACGAGTTTTCCATTACGTTCTCTATTAGCTAGTTATCCACTTTCGCCTCTGACTCACTCGTTCGTCTACAGACGCCGTAAACATCTACGAAATTTTTATCCGAGCCTGCATAAGCAACCACGTTCAGGAAGAACCGCGTTGTTCCTTTTAGGGAGATGATGCGAACTTGTTTGCTCTTTTTCATAGACTCGGAATTCTTCTCACTGATGTAGGTTTTTATAGCTGTAGTGCCACTGAAAAATGGTATAATGTATTGGAGCGGAATATAGTGTCATTGAGAAGTCATATATAATACTCAAACAGAGTTAATCTCTTTATGAAAGTGGTTGCGATATTTGACTTATACGTGCACAAAAGTCGCTGTAAGAGTTTCTGTTTGAAAAATAACTTTGCTCCCCATTCCCTTACGCCTTACATCTCTTACAAAACCATTTTTATGCTACAATGACAACAGGTATGCCAACCTGATATTGGCAAGAACTTCGATGACTTCCTGACTCCTGAAATCGATTTCGTCAGCTAAATAACTGTCCTCTCCTTGACAACTCCTCATAGCCTGTAAAGTGGTTTGGTCAAAAACGTTCATTGCATTATGAAAGTGCTTGTCACACTCAAGAAGCCGAAAGGGATTCGTTCGATTATGTACCGTCAGACTTGTGTAAGTACGAAGCTTGCTAGAATTTGACTCACTCTTCTGTACGTTATCGACTGTCTTTGTGATAGAATACGATAACAATAATGAGGTCCTTCGTGGTACTGAGCAGGGCATGCGTTTTTGCATCCTTCCGGACCTGTATTTGCTGATTGAGCAACAGAATGCTTGAAGCGTAGAAAGCCAACATAATTTTGTCTTCAGAATAATTCACTAGTTTGTTAAGTAGTGTTCATTTGACCATGTTAGACTTACTTTGCGACTAGTTCATTTTTCTGGAGCGCATCGTAACGCAACAGCTTCCTTTCAACATTTCCACCTTGCTAATTCTCATACTTTTCGACTACTTTGCTAACCCCATAGTAGAGTCCCGGCATCCCAGCCCAGCTCAGGCCGGCCCAATTTGGCCTTACGGCGCGCCAATCCAGCATCAACCGGCGCTGACCTCCTACACACGATGAAATTGCGAATTTTCAGAGAAAAAACTGGGTTAGTGGCATTTGTGCAGTTCAGGTCATTGGGTAAACATTTGCGATATGAGCGGGGCGGACTGCGATCGGCTAATGACATCATTTTTGCTTCCCATCGAGCATTTTTTACTAACGGCCATTGTGGAAAATTTGATGATGACCGCTATTAAAGATCTTGCCTAGCAGTTTTTCTGCCGATTTAGTTTCTTGGTTTTCCGTTCAACTGAGTGGAGCAGATTATGATTGATAGAGTGCTACACTCAATTTGGAGCACGACGCTCAAGGCGGAACTGGCACACTACAAAACTTCTCGAGCACAGAAATTGAGTTATGCGGTTGCCTGTTATGGTAAGTTTAAAATTTGTTGAGACATGTCATTATCAGCGACCCAGCGACCAAACGATTGTCTTCGAGCCTTGCAGTATCTATGGGAATGGTTTAGCAAATCGAAGCATTTCCATTTAAATCGAGAAAAGTTTTCGAAAACTCCATAGCTCAGCTCGTTCTAAACAACTGACTTTTACTGCATCTAAAAGCGAAAGTTGCAGGTTTTTTTTTTGAAGAAGGCATCCGGTTGTAAAGGATGTTTCATATGTAGTTGTGCAATTTGAGGATAAATGAACACAGCTGTAGATGCAGAAATAAATGGAAGTATATTACTATGTTAAATGTATAGCCTTTAATACCCACTATTTCCATTTTTTCCATTTTCTCCTATTGAAATTAGCGTAATTGGGAGCTGTTCTGGATGGTGATGGTATGATGATATATACAAGGTAGATATGTAGTAGTGGCCAGTACCGTAGTTTTGACAGAAACCTAACAAAACATATGTTTCAGCAGTTTTAGTGAGCGGGCGGGGATACTGCGAAAATGGGGGTGAGTGGGCAGCGACGGGCTACGGGCAGAGGACTACTATATGTCGCCGAATTTGAAAGAGTCCCGTGCGGATTCCCTGCAGGAACGCATGTCCGCGCATGTACAAGGGTGCGTATTTGTCGCAAATGACTGCGGGGACCGCCCTTTTTCGGCGATATATAGTCCTCTACCCACGGGCTACCAGCGGGCAGCTATAATCTTCCATGAGTAAGAAAATAGCTGCAGAGCGCATTCATTGCTACAAAAGCAGCCAGAAGGTAGCGACGAGGCAGCGACTTCTTCATTAAGCTGGCAGCGACCGGAAAACGATGGGGAGGTGAATGCAAGGTTTCTGCGAGCAGGCTGCAATAAGTGCTATGAGACGACAGTCTTAATAAGTAACGTTGATTATTGTGGCTGCCAACTGGAAGCCATATCGTTGCCCCCTCGGGACCCTGTTGATCGATTGATAGAAAAGTAAGATGTGCAGGCAAGCGAGAATGGCACTTTGAACTTGCGTCACTTTTGGTTTCATTGTTGCCATCGTGGTTTTTAATATATTACAATGTTACTCGCGCATTACTTTCTTTACATTTCTTCCTAGGCTGCGATTGCTCTTTTTTGTTTTGTACTATCTCATAATTACAAAGCGTTTCTGTTCATGTTTTCCTATCTTATCCAGCCTTAACTTTGTCTCGTACCTTCATCTTATATATAAAGCTGAATGTCTGTTTGTATGTCTGTCTGTCTGTCTGTCTGTCTGTCTGTCTGTATGTCTGTCTGTCTGTGTGTACGTATGTTCCGAATAGAAAATTCCATTTCTGAACCGATCCGGACCAAACTTGGCACACATACACATCGGGCCCCGGCGGGTGTCATAGGCCACTTTTCGTCATCGATCGATATCGATTTTATCGATTTTTTGCAAAATTCGAGCTACGGGGCTGGGAGTTGGCACAGGGGGGTATTCGAGCATGCTGACCACCCCCGTGGGGGTGATCAGCATGCTCGATTACACCCTCTGCCAATTTCAGCCCCTAGCTTAAATTTTGCAAAAAATCGATAAAATCGATATCGATCGATGATGGCCTATGACACCCGCCGGGGCCCGATGTGTATGTGTGCCAAGTTTGGTCTGGATCGGTTTAAGAAATGAAATTTTCTATTCGGAACATACGGCGGAGCCGGGTAAGCCAGCTAGTTGCATATACAATCGCTACAACTATCATGCATCTCTCTCTTATGCTAGAAAGACAACAAGTTGAGGATCACATTTCACACCGCGAGTGTAGGGCACAATGAATTCGGTTACTTGTACTTTAAATGACAAAATTGCTGTCAATCAAAAGCTCAATGAAAATCTATAAAAGTGTATTCAAACTGCTGGAGTCAGCATCTGAACTTCAACAGTATTTTTGCACAGCTTTTGTAGATACGAGAACGGCAAAAGCAATAAACTAAATCAATTTTCTTGACTTTTGTAATGGTTCTAAGTGCTTAAACATACTGCCCACTTTGCCGAAATTCGATCACGAAAATCAAGTGCCAGTATGATAAATCAGGTTCCAGTGTGATAAATATAATCAACAGTGATCTTTTGGCCGACAGAAGTAGGTCTCACGAGGAGTTTGATTGTTTTGAATTGAGATTCGTACAAATATATAAGTTTATTAAAATTTTGCTACATCATCATACACTGCGAAGAAAAACAGTTACTAGCGAATCATATAAAGTTAATCTGTTGCCTTTCATTGCGCTTTCACATGCTTTATCGAAGTTACTAGCTAATCATATAAAGTCAATCTGTTGCCTTTCATTGCGCTTTCATATGCTTTATCAATGTCCGTTGTAAGCGATTTTCTCACATTGTATAGCAGTTTTCTCACATCTTACATCAGCGTAGATTAATCATGAGTCATGCACCATCGATATAATTCGCTTTGATGTTTTCCCCGCCGCATTGGTTTGGTGCGCACGTTTTGCATGCATGCACGACGTGGCGGGCGTTCAACCTGACGCTTTGCCAGTCGTCGCAGCCCATCGTTTTTTGGCTAGTTCGTTTATTTTCGCTTTTCTTGTCAGGATTTCCGCTGGAAAAGTGGTGGGCCGGCCCTAATCAGGCAGATGTACGTCGTTTTGCAATGACATCTAGAAAAGTGAATTCAAAGAATGAATAGTGAACTTATTTCAATAAAGTTATATATCTGTACGAATCTTAATATTTGGAACAATCAAATTCCTCATGAACCTGCTTCTGTGAGCCTTATCGCCTCACTGTCGCTTCCTGCTGAGAACCGTAGAAGCGACCGGGTACAATATGGCACTGAACGGGACGCTAAAGCTGGCAGCGGGCGGACTGCTATAAGGTTTTCAGCGGGAAGCGAAAGTGGCGGCGATAAGGGCCGGCGCTTTTGGTGGATCTTGGCGGTGGCTTTGTGGCTGCCGGTCGAGAGCCTTTGACTATCTGACAATGAGACGGCGTCAATCACCGCTTTTCACGCATGACAACAATGCTACCCAGATCTTAAGGAAGTAAGCTCGCATATCGAGAACGGGAAACTCTGCCATTAACCGCCGCTTTTCTAGTCAAAATGTCTTCAAGCATAGACGTTGATTCTCGCTTCAAAAATTTCCTATTTCTTTCCTTCCTGGCAATATAATCTTCTTGCTGGGCATGTATTTGCTTATTTGAATAAATTGGCAGACTGCGTCATGTGTTTATGCGTTAACTGGTCCCACTGTCCAGAAACATTTGGCTATCTCGGAACGGTGAACAAAAACTACATTCATTCCAACGACTGGTCTTCAGAATGGTACAAGACTTCATATAATCAAGTTGACTTGCGGCTCAATGTGTTAGGCAAAACTAAACCCTATCAGATTTCTTCAGTTGCTTCCTACCGTCCAAACATTGTTTAGAAAATTTCAAGTCATTGAACTGAAATAAATAAGGAGGAAGCGGCACTGATAGTGCTGCGGCGCATCATCGAGGGCCCTTTCCGCGTTGACATTCATGTGATGAGAGGGATAACGATAACGTGCCAAAAAATTTATTCTACCCAATCTCCAAAATCTTGCTTACATAGCGGCATCAAAAAATCATACTCAATTAACCTGTGAATAATTTTGAGACGTATTCGAGAGGTAATACTCTTTACACCCTCTATAGTAGTACATCAGTTCACTTTTCAACGTCTGTCCAATTCAGCTGACTTTCATTTTTCTGAAAAAAAGGAACTTCACCTGCCGTTGCAACAGACACTCTAGTAGATTTTTGTGGAGCGGTCGCTTGCTGCGTTGTCGGTGAAACATTCTCTTTTGTTACTCCTTTTACCTTAAATAAATATTCAAATGTATCGGCAAACTACAATACGTTGATGCTCACTGACCGTGGTGCTTTGCTCTTCATCTGACAACGACATTTGATAAGGCCACCGCGTGGTTGCGGGGTAGGGTAGAGTTTTGCTAATAGAGCTTGACATAGGACTGTCAGAATAATTTGTTGTAGCTGACTCAAATGTAGATGATATTGAATTGAGCCAAAATAGTGGTGTGGCGTATAACCAGCTAAGAGTTTCATCGAACAGAGATGTAGAAGAGGTTTCATATATCGGGGTTGACACTGCAAGAGCCTTTTGCGTTATCTTTTGAGATTCTTTACCGGAATGGTCTTCGATGGCGATGTGTCCGTTTTCATTGGTGTATTGAGTTAAACTAGGAGTACTGAGGTGTTCAAGCACAGAACGTGGAGAGCTACTACTCGGCTCAAATTCAGCTAATGACGTTAGTTTGCGTGCCAAACTCAAGGATTTTTTATAAGTTGGAATAGGGTTGCTCATGCTTCCTTTTATTGTTGCACTGATTGCAGTCTCTTCAGTTGTAGATATAATACTTGAGGTAGTGGACTGCCCAGGTAAATGATTTGTAGTAATGAGCGGAGCAGATTTCTCACCGATTGTTGAAAGAATATCTTCACGCACAGTTTTTGGTATGAAGGCGGTAGAAGTCGAAATTTCCTTCTCTATAGTCCCTGTTTTTTCAACAGTTGCAGGTGGTGATACTGTGCTTTTGCTTTGCGAAAATTCATGCCGACTTGTTTCGGCACTTCTATTCAATGCATCAACACTTAGTGTTTCCTGCAACGACAGAACAGACATGCGAGTAGTCGATGGAAATTGTTTGCTGCTGGAGCCTTGGCTGAGCGAAGTGGGATGACTTATGAAGCTCACACAGGTCTGAACTTTTCCTCTTTCTTCAGTTTTTAGCTGTGATGAATATGTCATCGCACTGGTAGTATGAGATTTAGAACATGCTGATTCTGACTGTTTAGATAATGCACTAGTAGTTTGGGATGATGCTGTGGTTGAAATAGTCGCAGAATTTTTCGTACTTCGTACATTTTTCGTACTTGTTCTTGTTCTGATAGTTTTCGTACGAGTTCTTTTTGCTGTGAAATTTGTGCGAGTTATCTCTGTGGAAGGTGTGGTCACCGCATTGCCTAACTTTCTCGTCGAAGGATTTACAGACAGAGGAATCCCAACCTTTCCCAACACCTTAGAAATATTAGGTGTAAGATTTATGATGGTGCCAGCAGCGAATTCTGTTGTCGCTATGCTTGAATTCAATGTTGTTGATCTGTCCATGCTCGTACTTTCATTAGTTTTTGTCCTGGCGTACGCAATAGCTATATCGTTTCCTTCAAATTGGCTCGACGGTTTCACATTTGTTGTATCAAATTTCACGCTATAATTACCTTCAGATTCGTCGCTAATCTGCTTGTATGTGGACTTTTCTGCAATGGACACTAGTTTCGTGATGCTCGTGCTTTCTTTTGCAGTATCGTACTGCGAGTTTGCAGTGATAGCTGGATAAGATAAGGTGTTTTGCGTCAAAGGTAAAGTCTTTACTAACCCATCTGTAACATAGTCTGGTCTCGCAACTGACTGATAAATTGCTGAGCTGCTTTTATCCTCTTCGGATATGAGATAAGCTCTGGGACTTTCAATTGTGCCAATAGATCTAGTCGATGCTTCTCTCAAACTTTTTGATGTAGATATCAGACTTGGACTAGTGGCTCCACCTGTAAACAAGCTTTGTGGTAGAGTTGCTGACATTTCATCAACGTCGGATGAAGTTGAAGAGACTGAATGACTGTAGACGTTTCCTAAGTCTATTGATTGGAGTGAAAGCATCTCCTTCAATGATGTTGCTCTTGTTTGCTTAGGAAATGGAGTATTCTCCTCATAATCAGTAAATGCATCCATTGTTCCTGGTGCACTGCTGCTTTTTTGAGCGATCACATTCTCTTCTTTTTCTTGATTCCAACTCAAAGATGTTAAATGACCGTTTCTCGAGAGCATTGATGACTCTGCGAATATTTGTCCTGTGGTTAAAAAATAATCACGGAATTTTTCAAAGGATATCAAAGTAGCCCTTGTGCTAGCTGATTTGATCGCAAACCCTGTTTTGTGCGTGTCCGCTTCTGTCATTTGGGCATACATTGTACTTGACATGCTCGGTATAGCTTCTTCTTTTAAGCCACTCTTTGTAGTCGAAATTTCCGAGTCAGTCGGTTGCAATCCATCAAGGTGAATGGTTGTTGAATGTTTGAAGATTTGGGATTCACTTGTTGTAAACGCTGCGTTGTTTTGCTTGGTTGGTGCTGTATTCTCACTGCTATCGTCTGAAATTATGGCTCCAATTTGAGAAAAAACGTTTGAAAATAATTCAGTCGTTCCTGTACCAAGCTCATGCTTTGTTGACTGTTGTCTTAGCGTATCCATTTTGGAAGAAGGCATTATAAGCGTGAGTAAATCAGGTGTTGTTTTCGTAGTTGATTGCAGTTCTTCTTCTGCAGTCGTGGAAGTGGATGATGTTACTGCATGGTGACTATATCCATCAACATCAGCAAGTTTCGTGTCTGCAGTGGAAATGAAACCATGGTCAGTTGTAGATGTGGGACTGTGATCCGTTCGTGTGCTTGCTGCTGCACTGGTTGGAGCAACGAACTGGACACATTTCTTATCTGAAGTCGGTTCATTTTCATTGGTGTTTTCATTTTTAGATGGCTCGTTAGCTTTTGTTGTTGTTTGTGTTGTTTAGTGTAAGGTTCATTGTGTTCCTGAGCATAAATGTGTCATCCGATAAGCATGATTTTCATTTCAAATAACTAGCACTGCCACAATATTTAGCCTGAAAACAAGGACATTTATCCTCATAAACCGTGGTCGGTAGTAAACCTGTCGAAACGCGCAACTCAAACTTTGAGTTAACTCAGAGTTAACTCCGAGTTAACACCCACCTTTCAGGGGTCATTAACACCTGCATAAACAAACCAAATGGGGAGAAGGTGATATGGCAGGATACCCCACTAGACGTAATTTATCTCAAGTATGGAACACGGCATAGCTCGTTCCACGCGAAGAGCTACGCGACAAAACGCGCAGCTCAGCTGAAGCTCGGAGTTAACTCTGACTTTAGTTAGAGAAAGAGCAATAGCGTGTCGATGAGGAGGTGCAGCTAAAAAGTCCTCCGGGGTAGATTTTGCTCCGAGTTTCAGCTAGCATGATGGGGGTACACTGTTGAGCACAAAAACATGAAATTTTGTAAAATTTTGGCCTCGGGGTTATCCGACGTGCTGATCACGAATACGATGTTATTTTTTTGCCATTCGCCCACATAGCGAGGTTACGGTAAGGGTACGGTAGTTGGGCGAAAATTAAGGAATTTGTCGAAACTTGATGCATTAGGATTATTTGACATTCTGATCACGAATATGGCATTTATTTGTAACTGCGGGTCCATTTGGCGGGGTTACGGTAGAGATACGGTAGTTAGGCGAAAACCACGAATTTTGTCGAGACTTGGTACATTGGGTTATCTGCCACGCAGATCACGAATATGGTATTCGTTTTTCGCTATAGGGCCACAGAGCAGGGGTGTAGGCCCTTCTGAACCTGCCCCAATCGCGACGGCTATAAGAGGTCAGCGCTAATTAGAGGTCACTCCATGATTGGCTAGCTCGCGAGAGCGAGCTGGGCAGGCGCGCTGCGCGGACGAGTTTCACATCGCTGGTAAACTACTCCACAATGAGATTCTGGAGGTATTCTTTAGAAAATTCCTAAATTCTCCAAATTCCCCTAGAATTCAATAACTTGAGTTATTCCCTCTACTCCACACTACTTAAATCGCCGGCCACTTTCTAAGGTGATATGTTTTTGATCTATGAGACATTTTCAATTTCTTCGACTTATTTTACTGTTTTTTTTGTTCGATTGCATGCTCTACTCTCCTACGTCTTTGTGAGTTCGACTGCATGCTCTACTCTCCTACATCTGCTTCCTTGCAGCATCATCTAGTCACATTCAATTGAAATGTGCACTACATGCATGCCAGTAGGGAAGCATACGTTTTATTTATGATGAGTATGAAGATTTTTTTACACTGTCCATGTCAAAGACGGAATCAAATCATCACCTTCATTCGGTAGCGTGATCTACATGGATTGATTTTGGTAGCGACCTTTTCTTTGCGGCACGCATCATACTTTTTATAGCGTAAAAATTTTAAATGCACGTTCGTAAATTTTACTAGGAATGAGAATTTTAAGGAGATTATAATTTTCTTAAAATGCTACAGAGCTGCACTGAAATGTCAGAAGGAAATACGCATTTGATAACGAATTAGCGAAGTAGATTCACCAATTTAAGTCATAATTGGCCTTTACAAAGAGTTGTTACAGGAACTTTGTTTACGTGGGCTTTCCTCAATAACATCAAGCTGCCCACATTAGCAAAATGATGTGACGATGCACGACGTTATAAGGATCGCACACACAAGGGATATAAGTGGAAAAAAAGCAAAAAAAACAAAGTTCGAACGAATTCAGAGGAGATCCATGAGAAGTTTTTTATGAATCATGGAAATGAAAAGACTTCGAAAATGTCCCATAAATCATAAACATACCTGCTGGGAAGTAGAGCTCAGAATACCAAACATTCAGAGGATGGTAGCTGTGTTTGGTTGAAATCAGCGTAATTGGCTTGCATTCCATAATGCAAGAGCCGCACCAAAGGAGTTGGTGATTTTCAAAAATACGAGCCCTTCGCGGAGCACTCGTCCGCAATCATCGCAGTGCATGCGCGCGCGTCCTAGTTCTAGATTACTGTAGGGGACGGTGGGTTCAGAAGTGCCATCTCCCACAGAGCAGGATTACGGTAGCTATATAGCTATACGGTAGTTGGGCGAAAATCACAAAATTGATTAAAATTTGGTACATTGGGGTTTTTTCACACGCAGATCACGAATATGATATTCGTTTTTCGTCAGAAAGTCACAGAGCAGGGTTACGGTAGGTTTAACGTAGACGGGAAAATATCACGGAATCAATCAAAACTTGGTCTGAGGGGGTTATTCAGTGCGTTGATTGCGAATATGATATTCATTTCTCACCACGAAGGGATAAAGCGGGGTTACGGTAGAAGGTCACATAATAGATTCAAAATTGCCTCAATGGAGTTATGCGATGTGCTGACCACGACCATATGCCCATTTCTCACTGCAGTATTGTATAGCGGAGTTACGATAAAGATACGGTAGACTGCCGAGATCATAGAATACCCCTTGGATTGGTGGTTCTGCTCGTTGATCACGAATATCAAAGCCGCAAAGAGGTATCATTCATAGGATATAGTTACAATGAATATACGGTAGATGGATCAAAATATCAGACTTGCTTAGAACTTTGTCTAGGGGAGTTGTTTATATATAATTTTGAATATGTAATATTTCTTTCCCACTGCAGGACTGCGATGGGGTTACAATAAATGTGGTAGACTTAACTGGCCAACTTTCTCAGTAGATTCATTTGGCAGAGCAATCATGAATATGCTGTCCGTTTTCAATGAGGATATGTAAGTTACGATGGGCATATAAGGGAGAAGGGCGAAAATATATAGCGAATCTTATATATAAAGCTGAATGTCTGTCTGTCTGTCTGTCTGTATGTATGTCTGTATGTATGTGCGGAATAGAAATTTTTATTTCTCAACCGATTTGGACCAAACTTGGCACACATATACTTCGGGGCAGGGAGCGTGTCATAGGCTACTTTTCCTTATCGATCGATATCGATTTTATCGATTTTTTGCAAAATTTGAGCTACAGGGCTGGGAGTTGGCACAGGGGGGTAACCGAGCATGCTGATTACAAATATATTATTGACAGTCCCGGGCGGAGCCGGGTTTGCCAACTAGTAAGCAATAATATCAGTAGCACTTTTCAAATTTTTACTTCTAAAAGTTTTTGTTGTCATGTTAACAGGAACAACTTCAAAAATTATTTGGAAAATGTTACATAACTCCGAGTTCATCCGAAATTCGAATGAAACTCGATTTTCAAATAAGCTCTAGATTTTTATTTTTATTTGAAAGTCGATCTTCCTAAAATTATGGTAGGATATTTCGAAATTGCAAAATTCAGATATGGTTCATTCGAAATTTGAGAATAAAATATTTTTAATGGTAAGGATTTTCAAATTTTATCAAGTATAATGGCATATCAAGATAATGGGAGAGGGTTACGGTCTATGTCTATCTTTCACTCTGCTACTATTTAAAAAGCAGTAATACCTTATTGCCAGGCACCTCACAGGCAAGTCTAACGCCTCTCGACGTGTCTTGACATGTGAGGTCTTGGATACGGGGATTTTAATCCATAGCAGCATCCTGGAAATAGTGACTCGGTGGTGTAGTGGGCTGGTAGTTGGTTCAGTGCGCCGAGAAACTACAGTTCAAGTCTCTGCTCCGGCAAAGTGTTTTGCGATAAAGTGTATGGCGCTCCTCAACAACTATAACGGCTCCGGAAGTAGCGGTACGAAACTCCGAACTCGGAGTTAAAACTCTGAGTTAACGCGCAGCTTTAAATTCGGAGTTTCGGCCAGATTACTACCGGCTCGTGTCGCTATAGAGTAAACCACTTTCGTACATCTTATGCAATCTTTTTCGCACTTTGTACACCAATGATTTTCTAATAAAAGCACCGCAAAGGAAAGCCAAAATCACTTTGCTTGCTACAAAAAACTTCTTAACCTATTCTCCTAATAGTTCGAAGCAATATTGGCTTATACCCTTGTAACTTTCTCCACTCTGCTCACAACTACTACAAATTGTGACTCTTGCAGCTTCAGCGATCGGAATTTGTCCTCGACGGCGTCGCCCACTGCGTTCTGAAACAACGGTGTTGATAAAAATGTCCTTATGTAAAAAATTCAAATGTCATTTGATTCACTTGCACAATAGCGTCAGTAGGGCCTCCCCCACCCCCTTTTCCCGTCAGCACTACGAAAATTGCATTAAAATTCAATCTTTACATAAATTTGGTCTTTCTTGAAATTGATACGACAGACAAATCGGAAAATGTTGAGGTGTTTCCTGATGTTTGTCAGACTTCTGAAAAACTCTGTCTCTCTTGCTACTTTGTTATTTGGGCGAACTGCTACAACCAACCATATTCAAGGTTGGTTCGATCTATTCCCTTTTCAAATTTTTCAAAAATCGTAAATATTTTGCATATCAATCAAGTCCGTGTGCGTTTGTTTGTTAAAAAGTAATTATGGACTTTAACATTATCTTGAATATGCATTGGTATAGAATGCGAAATTAAGTAGCAAAAATTGCTCAAAATATATCTCGACTTTGGAATTCTAACCTATGATCGACTCGTATTCAGGTTTCATCCTGCAATCTTTTAGCAATTTTGTGACCTTGTTTGAGAATGCAAACTTAAGTGGTTTTTTCATATGCCTCTTACTCTCGCATTTTCATAGTCCACACAAATGTACTACTGTGATATCGTAACTTTCGCTTTCAGACAAAAGATAACATTATTTGATATTTATTTCAAGGAACTGGAATGTACAGTGATTGTGACCAGTGTTTCTTCCAATCAAGTGCATATTTGTAAAGTTTATGTCCTTACTTTTTCAACCGTAGATACTTGTGTACTTAACATAGAGTGTTTGAGAATCTAGCTCGACCAACATGAAGATTGAAGTGGCCTTTCTAAATGTGATGTATACCATATTGAAGGGTAAAAACTCTGATTCCAAAACTGCCTTCATATCTGCAACGTTTGGACGAGGAGTTATGAGCGTTGAAGACAAAAACTGAATGTGTATTTTGAATAAAATGAATCGCTTAAATCATACTAGCCTTCAAATAATGCAACAAAGTGTGATGTATTTTTTTTTGTTCTAGAGTAATTTTGAAGTGCTCTGATGATTATCACTGCTCCATTGAAGAGCTAAAAAAAGTATTACGGCTATTTTTGCCCTATTCGCACATTCAATTTTCTGCTCCAATAAGCGCTCATAACTTCGTCCATAAATTTTCTGCAGATGTGGAAGACAGATTTGGAATCAGCATTTTACGCCCTTCAGTATGGCCTCTTTAGATGGTATACATCCCATCTAAAGAGGCCACTTCGACTAAACATGCATATTGGCAGTGATGCATGAAAGGCGAAGGACCATGGTATTGCCCTATTTCTATCTCATTTATCTCAAACCAGTCCAAAGCGCCGCTTCGCGGCGCTTTGGACTGGCTGTGTGTGTGAAGTGGGAATGTGACTGAAAGTTAGAACCTTTGAGGTTTTGTAGCGAACCTTTTCCTCTCCAAAAGTATGGCATGAATTTGAACACGTAATGAGCCCAGAAGTTATCAAAGTAACGGATCTTTCCTGCTTTCGGAATTTTCGGAAATTTTCTCATGAAAATTGGCAACAGAATTATGAATGCTCCCCTCCTAGCTTTTTCTAACCGCACCGACTTCCTTGAGACACGAATTTACAGATACTTAATTCACATATGCTCGAACCTTATATAATCTTGCGTTTTGCTATCCCAGTCTTTCAAGGTTTCCCTCCCCTCAACTCATTGACCCAATAACTTCTTGATCAACTTTGCTGAAGTACCACTCTCTTCTTGCATTCTCGCACTCTTCAGTTCTGAGGGCATTAGTCGTAGGAGGCCGTTCTGAGTCACGCTTCGGAAGTTGCCCAGAATCTGCTTATTCAAATGTTCAGTCTGGTCACGATTTAGACAGGCTTAGCCTGAGTTCTCCATGCTGCGAAGTTTCTCGGATGCTCTCAAACTTTTACACGTCAAAAAACGTAACGCAAAAAAATTTTGTGATTGAAGCGCCCGTCCCAAACCCGATAAAGTAATCCCAGCCATGTGCACTCTTCCCACCCGGGGCCGTTTCCCACATTTGACCCTCCAAACTGCCTTAGATCCCTCTCCCCCCCCCCCCACCCCAGAAGCTTCAATGAGACTACTTTCATCTCTTCCCGAAATTAAACTAAAGAAAATTCGAATTGTTATTTTTGAAATTATATAGCCAACATTGAAACTACCAAATCTAGACCTTTCCAAATTCGAACACTCCCTTTTTCTTTTCAGCAGTACTCTTTTTGAGAGCGTCATAATTCTCTTTTATTTCAAGAAACTCTCGTTCGTGTTTTCATGAGGTTCCCAAAATATCCAGCATCCTTGCAATTCATACGTAGGCTCCAAAATCGATCATTTTTCAGGTCATCTTATTGAGCAAGCTCAAATTCTTGAAGGAACCTACTTAAAGGTGTCCATGCTTCTAGCTGCTCACCTAGGCATATCTCGTTTCTTGTACAATTTTGAGGTTGTGCAATATTCTGGCAAAGCTGCGCTGTACGTTGGTAAAGCTTTAGTTTACGTAAAGGTAAGTTGCATGCCACCTTGTCTCTTATTCGTAGCTGAGATACTAAAGGCAGATTCATACAGCATTTAGTCCTAATATAGCAAACGCGATCGCATTGACCTTTTACATTACTCTTCGAATTTTTGATGTTTGAAGGAAAACTCGGGAAGTTGAAAGTGTTCTTTAGAGTTTACTTTTCTTAGCTGAAGAAGGTTTTTGCATCCAGCTTTCATCGAGTCTTAAGACAATTTGCATGACCACGCTGTATTCGTTTGGAAAAATAGTGTTCCGTACAATTGTTGGCAACTATCTAAAAGGTTCACACAGTATTGGGATGTCAACTCAATGGAGTCCAAAAATTTCGAAGTTCATCAACTTTGACAAACATCTTTGCATGTGAATTGAAAAGAAGGAAATCTAAAGAGCCTGTGGTGTAGACATTTCAGACAAAGTGCTTATTCATGAAAAATCGTAGACAAAGATTGTCCAGAGCAAAGTTTGCGAGAATCCTCCAAAAACAGAATTAGTGCAGTTTACCTGGAATAATAACATTCACTAAGCACTTCACGGAGAACTTCTTCTTGCTGAGATACGTTAACAGAAAAATTAGAAGGACAGAATAATTGAAGATTTGGCGCAGCTTTTACGGTGAGGAAACATACTAAGCACTCGAGAAACGGACTATGGAAGACTGCAGTATATTAAATACCTAACTTTACCGAAAAACTTATGCTTCCCCTCCAAATTAAACGCTCCATAATAGAAATAGAGAAGCGAGATGCAAAAAAAAAGAACGTAATGGTGTTGAGATAATGTACAAACGATTTGGCCAATCCTTGATGATTTTCGAAATGAAACTATTACAGTCAGTGGAAGAGCTTAATCAATTCAGCCAGTTCAAGTGGTGTTAATTTCACTGTTTTTGGTGCCAACTCATAAACATCGCTAGAGAACATGACCGAAAACTCTGGAGGCAGCATTGTATTACGTCATCAGCGCGACTGATCTTGGTCGCCGGGCGCGTTGCCATTAGTGGTAAACAACACCGGAACATACACACACCATGCTGACTCACATGGGGGTGCTAGCGCTTTATATAATAGTATGGATACTATTTTTACTCAGTGTAGTTTTGACCGAGGTTCTACGTACCATCCAGTATGATAAATTGCTGAGTTTAGAGATTTAAGGGATTAAAATTAAAGCCCAAGCACTCTGTGAAAGAACCTTTCTTATGTTAGAGCCACCTTCATTGCCAAGCGATAAAGTTAGCTTTTTCCATGCTCACAGAAAATGATTTGTATACTGCTACTATCAGGTGAAGGGAAGGATGACCTTCTTGTGATGGTAGAAAACATAGTTCAAAATAGTGAAAATCGCACTATTTTCATGCCAATCTTGACCATATACAGAGCAGCGCTCTAGGGATAAAGACATAATGATCTGCAGTTGATTTAAACTTGTCTGGGAGCTCTCAAACATTGTAGCAATTTTCCTTAGTAAAGTTGAATTTTGGAAATCAACTTTCTTCCTCTGATTTTCGTATAGCTTACTGTTCATTTTTGATATGAAATTCACCCGCCTGAAGAACAATTCGCGAACAAGCTTACGAGAACGACGATTAGTAAAATCGAAAGGAGGTTGGACTGCATTTGCATTGGGAAGCTTTACTACTCCTGAAAAAATACTGTTAATGAGGCTAGCACAAGGTAGAAGCATAATAAGGAGTAGAAGGCATCCAAGAAAAAAGGTTTGACCACCACATAATCAACTATAAACAATCAGAGATGTCTCAATTTGTTTTTTACAGCGCTATCCTAAGCAATTCGTGAGCTTCTTTAGAGTGCACTGCTTTCACGTCTTTGCCTTACTGTTGTCACATATCCACCTAGATTGTCAATCAAAAATGGACTGCCATTTACGCATCTGACAGGTTAATTTCTATAACAGGCCGTCTATCAGTCATTTCAACATTTATTTGTCCACAGAAATGTTTCTACTGTCAACAATATTTGTTTTTTTTTTCGAAACAAATCATTCAATTTAGTTTCTTCGCGTAAGTACAAAGTTCTACTGATGTGATGCACTGTGTCCCATACAGTTACGTTCTTGCGGTGATTAGAAGATCGTCTCGTCTTAATTTAAGAGAGTGAAAAGCAGAAGAGCTACAAAACACAACTTTTAGTGAATAAAATCCTAAGGAATGAAAGTTCTGTTGGAAGTTACTTGGAGATATCCAAGACGACCGGAGAGCAATAAATAGTGATCGTTAAAGAAACTCATTGCGAATGAACTAGAATCGCCGTAAAGACGCTATGTGGCAGTTTGCGAATTTGAAGGCAGCACTTATCTAGCGGAATATATGGCAATCACAAATCGGATGATTGAAGATTGGAAGAGGAAGGTGGAAATCGCTTAAAAATCGTATTTTACAAATATTGGCTTTAATTTAACCTTGAGGACGACGAAGATAGAACTGCCTCTCTGCCCAGAAGACTGAACTCCAAGTGGCCCACAGAAAGCGATTGGGCCCTTGCTTGCTGACTTGCCGCTTTTCGCTCTTGTACTACACGTTTCTCAAACGTCCTTCTCGTACAATGGCTGAAACTTTGGCCCAGCCGAGAGTAGGAACACTGCCTCGGGCTTCGAAAATTGGGTTTTTGGGGAATTTTTTTTCATTGCAAACTTGCAAGTACGGAATGCGCGTATGCTCAGACGCAATTGGGAAAGAGTGGTATATGCAAAAGTTTCCAGGATAATTTTGATGAGACGCTGTTTTTGAGCACGTTTTTATGTACCACATGTATGACTCTGGCCGTACGTGTCCCTCGTTTATTGTGAGCATACTGAATGAAGATTCTGTTGTCATTGTTGAAACGTCTGCTGATTATTATTTTTTTCTTTAGACTCCTTCCATAATGAAAGATTCTTTAAGGACGGCTAATAAGGTAACCTGGCTGCGCTGTCACAAATTTCATTATCGCTCTAATTTATGAGCTGTACAAGTAAGACGAGCATTGTTCAGGATTGACTAGATCGGAGTCGAGCCTTTTAATTGAGTTGCACCAAAAGCATTATACAAATGCCTAGCACTATTTATTACTAATCTACTTGATCGCAAATGTATTAGGTTGTCCCAAAAGTTCTTGCGCCTCATTTTCAAAAAAAAATCATAGCTTCATCGAATCTCAATGGATTTCTTTGATAGTAATTTTATATGAAAGCACAGATCAAACTCTTTACAGAAGTAAGCTTTCGGTGAATCAGTATGAAAAAGTTTGAGAGCTAAAAGCAATAGAAGGAGATTAGTCAAGATCGGCATTTTTCAAGCTGGGTCACGAAAAATTCTAAAAGTTTTATTATTTGATAGAGAAAATTATGCTCTTTACCATAGTACCTTTACCATGAATTAAAACGAAAAAGATCGATTAGGAGGAAATAAAGAAAGATATTAGGTTGGCCCGAAAGTTCCTTCGCACCATTTTCAAAAATTCATAACTACCGGTTCTTTCAGCCGAATTGTATGTTTTCATTTTCATCTGAAAGAGCAGTTCATTCTCTTCACAGCGGTATCATAATCGCTTTCTGCTGAGCATATACTGCGTAGATAGGAGCGGTAGAAGAAATTTGATCAAAATTCGAATTTTCTGTGTACTGTCATAAAAAATCGGAAACTTGCAACAAAAATCGGAGCAGTCGGTATTGTAGGTTCTTTCACCAATTCTTTCTAAAGGTGCAAAGTTTGCGCCGATTGAGCGCCTTTATAAGTTTCGACCAAGCAATACAAAAGGGCGAATTTGATTTATTTTGGCATTTTTCAGGAAAATCTTAATAGAGTTTAGAATAGAATGAATTTTTTATAGAGGCCCTCAATCGGCGCAAACTTTGCACTGTTAGAAAGAATTGGTGAAAGAACCTACAATACCGACTGCTCCGATTTTTGTTGCAAGTTTCCGGTTTTTTATGACCTTACACAGAAAATTCGAACTTTGACCAATTTTGTTCTACCGCTCCTATCTACGCAGTCTATGCTCATGGGAAAGCCGCTATGGTACCACTATAAAAAGAATGAATTGCTTTTTCAGATAAGGATGAGAACATGCAAATCGGCTGGAAGAACTGGGAGTTATGAATTTTTGAAAATGGTGCGAAAGAACTCTCGGGCCAACCTAATACTTCAGTTTTGCAATTTTTGACATGCTCAAAAAAGCCTAAAAACGTCACAGAAGAGACGAAAAAGTCATGAACATGGGTTTTGTGACATGCTCTTTCTAGCTGAGGGGAATTCGTGCCCGTCGAGAGCAACTTTGATTTTCGTGGAAAACGCAGACCCAAAAATCCGGAAAGATTGCGGAAATCAAAATTGCTTTCGATTAGCAAAATTTTTGCTTAGCTAATAAAAGAGGGTTATAGAACCTATATCCATGACTTTCTCGTCTTTTCTGTGACGTTTCTAGGTTTTTTTTGAGCATGCTCAAAAATTGCAGGACTAAAGGAATTTTCTTTATCTGCTTCTAACTGTCGATCTGTTTCGTTTTGATTCATGAAAAAGGTACGAAGTAAAGAGCATAATTTTCTCTATCAAATAATAAAACTTTCGGAATTTTTTGTGATCCAGCTTGAAAAAAGGCAATTTTGGCTAATTCCTTCAATTGCTTCTAACTCTCGAACTTTCTTATGCCAATCTTTGTCGTAGGTATCGTTGTAAAGAGGTTTTCTCTTTCAAACAAATATAAGTATAAGAAAATTCGTAGAGTGGCAGAGAAGTTATCATTTTTTGAAAATGTGACGCAAGAACTTTTGAGACAACCTAATATATAGCAGTGAGAGAAAGCTCCTATTATCAAAATTTTCAAAAGCAAAAGCTATTCTGGATTACAATCGAGGTGTCCTAGCGTATTACAAAGCCTTCACTCTACTCATATAGTCGTGATTCTGCTTTGCCATGTTCCATACGTCATTCCCGCAATCCTTGAACAGTAATTAGAATGAAGAAGCCAAAAGATTTGCAAAGTCAACAAACCTGTAAGCGTTTCAATCTCTTCTCTTGATCACTCATTAGCAGCCATCGTGGGTCAAACTGCTGGTGGTTGTAGTCCCTGAATGTATAGGACCTTAAAAAAAGCTAAATACTTTAGTTCGCGTTTGATGCAAGGCTCTGATCAAAGCTTGAACTCTGCCGCAATCGCATTTAGAGTTCTCTTTGATAAGTCGCCTCAGCTCAACTCCTTTCTTTAAAAAACTTTTTGATGCTATTTTTGTGAAATAGATTCCAGGCATTTGATACGCTGGCGACTCGATATGTCTTTCAGAATTTTATTTTGTACGGTAAAAACTTACACTTAATTTAACCCTTTGATTTTGACAGAAAGAACCTCGAAAGGACCTAATTTAAGCTAAATGCTATGAAAAAAAATTCGCAAGGTAACACAATTCCATTGATGATCCTAATTTACACCATCAACGACGGGGTATCGTCATTGATGATAGATATGATTATGCGCGATAATGGTGACTTTTAGTTTTTATTCGCAAGATTCTCAACCAACCTTTTATTCCTTTTGTGTACATCATCGATATGAGCCCTCAACTGACACTGTATTCGATCAAGTACCTGCAGCAATCAGATTTAGTCTCAGTCTTGGTGAGACATTAACGTACCGCGGGATCTATTGTTTCAGCTGGTTTTTTCAAGCACTTTATGGCTTTCATATTGCCTTGGCCGTCCACCATTGTTAGCGGACAGTATTCAAACGGGTCGTAATCATTGACTTCTAGGTAATTTTTCAAAGCAACCTACAAATAGAAGGTCATTCCGAAAATTCGTTGAGAAAGCACTAAATAAATAGTACCAGAAACTCGTTGTGTTCATTAGCATTTCTTAAACTGTTTTTCTTCAAAGCTTGCGTACCATTCCAAGCATCACATAATTTTCTCGTAAGTCGATCCAGCTAAAGTTCAGGTGAGATTATTTGAAGAAAGAACTCAAGCAAACATTATGAGGCCGCAGTCTTGCAGAGCTTACATATTTTAAAACATTGGAAACAAAAAAGAATATGAATTTCAACTATGAAGTGCAACAAATGAAGTATTTAATGCATTTGTGAATCTTAGTTACTTCAAACTGACACATCTTCGAATGGGCAGATATATAGATTCTCTTCATGATGCTTACGCCCAAAAAATAGTCAGTTGAAAATTCTTTTTTTGGCACAAGCAAATGGTGGTCAGACTGAGCTTTCCCAGATAAGAGAAAGCTGTAAAGTAGTAAGCTTCAAAGAAGTAATATAAGGAAAAAGAGTGGATCTTGTGCATGGCAAAAGTGCCGAGTATACGTATGTAACAGTGGCAGACCGAGGGGGGGGGGCGGGGGAGGGGGGGGGGGCGCCCCCCCCCGAGATGGGTCGCGAAATTTTTAAAACTTACCTATATGGATTATAAAAATGTGCACACGACTTGTTTATTTTTGTAAATAATTGAAATAATTTTTGAAATTTTTTAAAAATTCAAATTAGCCTTATAAAAAAATTTTTTCGGGGGCGTGCCTGACGCCACGCCCCCTTTTTCCAGATTTTAGGGATTGGGGACCCGCAAAAATTTTGAGAAGTACTCCTAAAACTTTTCGGAGTGCGTGGCTAACGCCACGCACCTTCATTTGAAAAAAAAATTTCCCCCCCCCCCCCCGGTCCAAAATCCTGGGACCGCCACTGGTATGTAAGTAACAATATTGAAGGACAAATAAAAGCAAGAAACAGCCTGATTTTATTGCAGTGCGAAATTTGTCTAGTAGCAATGGTTTGAAAGTCTGGGAACAGGTAAATTTTATTGATTTATTGATTGTTCACCATTGGCAACAAGAATTTGTCACAGAACAAATTTCACTTTAATTTTGGATCCAGTTACATGTAAATGCACATGTACTGGGAAGTTGCTTCCTATTCAGCACAAAGGAAGACAGTTTTTTTGGGAAGCGACCGTCAATAATTCCAGTGCCATGCAGAGCTCAAAAGTAATTCAGATTCAAACCTCTGCCTCGTATTTGGTGCGTCGTGCAGGATCCGGCTGAGGATCCTTCCTGTGCGTCCGAGCAGCCCATTCTTGATTCAGATGTCTAAAACACATGAATAATACCAACTCTATTTATGTTTGCAGTGCGACATGTGCTATTTTCGATTTCAAAAAGTGGATGATGGAGTAGGACTGTGGCAAAAGGTGCTGTTCCGCTAATTCTCAAAACGTAGAGTAGAGACCGCGACAATGTCGAGAATGAGCTTGCTCGAGACCAATATCGAATTTGGAAGTGTGGAGCTGAATCTACTGAGATTGGAGGTCTAAGTCGTTTGTAGGACCTACAATCAGAATTAAGTGCGATATGCATGTTCTAGCTTGCAGCTTAAAAGTGCTGGATGCAAAGGTAGCGCAATGGAGGGAAGGGGAGGGTCTCGAGCAATTTGAAGGAAAAATCTAACATTTTGCTTCAGACTTTGTTGCCTTTTTTGAAGGCCTACCATTGCAAACCATAGAATGCCTGCAACTCCCATCTTTGCGGAGACGTTGCCTAGATTTCATACACTGCCAAGAGCCCCTTATTGAATTTATGGGTTGGCACATAAGTTTGCAACTCATTTCGTAACTTTTCTCTTTTTGGCTGTGACGCATTCATTTTCAAGCATAATGTAGACTAGGTTGTAGGCTATAAATGTGCCCAAACAGCTTGATTTTTGGTAGCGAAATGGAGCAAATTTACGCATTTTCAAGCTGATCAAATTCTACATCTCAAGAGTCCGAAAAACAAGAATAAAGCCGTTCTCAGTCTAAATCAAACGCCTAAGGTCAAAACTGTACAGATCATTAGAGATTGCTTTATGAACCTGGCTACGGTTTCGGGTGCGTCTTATAGACTGAGAAGGCCTTTATTTTTGGTTTTCCGACCCTTGAAATTTCGATTTAACCGGCTTTGATCAGAACAATGCGGCCTCAAACTGTCAGCGCACATTCATAGCCTACTACCTAATCTACATTACGCTCACGCCCAACAATGAACGCCTCACAGCAAAAAAAGAAAAGTTACGAGATAAGTTGCAAAACTTATGTGCCCATCTAATCTGTATCGGTTGTCCCACAATCTTTTACCGTTTTTATCCTAAACATCAGCATTTCTCGAGAATTGGAGCACCTAAGTTTACTACATGGCCGTACTTCTGTATGTATGAGCTATATGATCATGGGCGTTGGAGAAGCTCAGGATATCTAGGGGGGGGGGGGAGGTGCCATTTCAACCCATTTTTTTCTTATTTCTAGCCATGGAAAAAATAAGGAAATAGTACAGTTGAATGTGCGATGAGTTAAGCTTACGCTGGGGTTAATGGAGAAATTTCAAGAAATTTCGGGGCGGAGATACGATTATGGAGAACTTCGTTTTCAATTGCCATTAGATTTCAGCTCAAAATTCCGTTGAAATATGATTTGGGCGGATTCTTCATAGCCATCTTGTAGGGCTTGTCCCTGTCGAATGCTTACTTAGGCCACATCCATTGAAGGAAAATTACACGAAGGTTATAGTAAAAAAAATTTCAAAAAATTATGGGACACCCTAATACTATTGGATTCGGCAACAATTGTTTCTATAAACTGCTAATCACCTGATTTGCTCGGCTTGTTCAAGACTTGCACCATTTGCTATTTTACCCATTTGATTAACGTAGACGCTCTGATAAACATACATGAAGAGGAGTACCACCGCAAATCACAAGATAAACTTGCATACATATAACGCTTCCGATTTGGAACAGTTTTCCTCAATTTTAGTCTTCGCATACGTTTGCATCCATTGAATTCGTAGTCGGTCTTTGATGGAAGAAGGTACAAAATTCTGAATTTCGCCTTTGCTGAGACTACATTGCTAAGATCCTCCTACACTTTGTATTCTAACATATATTACCTTTGCATCGCCATTTTTGAGCACTTCGTCTCTAGTCCACATTGTCACAGGATCAATTTGAGGGGCAATCGTTTTGGGGCAAAACTTCATCGCTAGCCGTACATACTTGCTATATAACTACAAAAATAAGTAAAAGTGTAAAAGTGATGGTTCTTATATGAACATGGTGTTTCTTGGAATTCACAGCTCACATTTGGATTTGTGAAAGCGGATTGTAGGAAGTTGCATGCAGTGTAGAAGAAGGAAACTATCATCGCAATTCTGAAGAAGAGAATAGGATAGGCGAATAACCTATTCTAACCTATCCTCTAATGATATAAAGGATGGCTTACAGATTGATGGAACCAACAGTGACCCAGTCGAATGATAAAGCAAGAGTTAACCAAGTCAGCAAGAGAAGCCACGGACCGAGAGCAACAAACGCCACATTGCGATAGCACTGCAGATAGAGCATTTTTGAAATGTAAAAAGCGGATATTCAGAACCTTTTCAATGCAGGGTTTCACGTCGAGTTTCTTTGAATCCAGGTACACATTTGTCTTGTGTCGGTATTGAGGAATTTTTGTAAGTATGAAATAACTTTTATAAGCAAAGCAAGTTGCTGTGAGAGCTGCACATGTGTTGAAGATAACCACCGGCAACCAAACGTTTAGGGTTTGCTGGGAAAAATGTCCCATACAGCTCCAATTCGTTACCAGCTGAATAAGGCCAACATGTGTTTTCTTCCTACAAATAAGTTAGAAAACGAACTTTACTCATTTGCTCTGCTGTAGTCATGGCCATGCTTATGCCCAATATGAGGCCCATCGCAACGAAGTTCCTCTCAAAGTAAATTATGGAATTGGTCTAAAACAGTTTGTAGACTTACAGCGACTGGTGGAGCTACATATGGAGTCTTGTTTTCTTTGTCCCAAAAATGACTTTTTCTAGCGTCTCCATATACCACTTCGTGCACGTTTTGTGACTCCAGAGTAAAGAGACCAATACCTAGATATTTTGTTTCTTTCGCTCGGCTCTTTTTGCTCATAACTTACTTAAAGAGTAGCACGTGGTTTCAAGATATAGCCATACACCGCAAGCAAATGCATTTATGTTGAAAAGTGCAGGATGTTGAAAAAAGAGGACAATAAATCCTGCTATAGACAACAACAGCGAACGCATATTTTGGCAAAAAACCTGGGTATCCTAAACAGATCTACGTATTATCAGTTGAGGATCATGAACTTTCAACTTAGACTAAAGTTCCGAACCTCTCCACTCTTCGGAAAGTATAGTTTCATCAGTCCTTTTACAATCATCATCAAGATTTCTCCTGCACTTACTACGAGCACTCCAGCCTTTGCAGCGGACAAAATTGAACTCTGAATACATTATATTCAAGAGAGCTACATGATTGTCCTTCTCTACGCAAAAGCAAAAATCTCGATTTACTTGCCTTGGTTTTTGAATAAAACGAAAGTTTTGGACTCATAACATCGCATTGCTCACCGCTAAATCCTTCATCACACTCGCAATAGGCCTGAATGCCTACTGAATTATAATAGAATAGTGTGCCTTTGATAAATTGAAACTCAATCTATTTTGTCTATAAAAAACATGAAGAGTTGAGGAACAACGCTTTTGGTCTTCTTTGATTCATTCACACGTGTGAAAAGCTGTGACCAATAGAAAATACCCGGCCAGCTTGTTAAAGACATGAGGTAGATGGCTTTGGATTGCTGTGGATTTTCAGGCTTTCCGTTGTTATTCCATAATTTTCCTACAAGGGAGGTGTCGCGGCTCGCGATCGACCGCTCCTCACAGCATGTGGCCGGGAGCACCGTGTTGCCGCGCGTCTCGGTCGTGGGCACGGTCGCCGCGCTTTACGGCGGCTACCTTGTTCGCTCCGAGACCACACCATGTAGGCACGCCCCCAGCCACCGCTATAAATAGCGCGTACGCGCGCCAGTGCGGCTCTCTCGTCTTATCATCTTACTATTATCGTCGTGCCGCCTTTATTATTGATTGGTTGGGTCTCCACGATATCGCCGTCGTGCCTACGTCCCCGTGCCTCGCGCGATTGGATGGACTGTTGATGGATTGTTTGGATGTACGCGCGAGGATGGAACTTCTGGATGACGAACATCTCGAACAGCCTTGGTCGGGCAGGATTTGTTGGGAGCTTTGTTCGATGCTGCTGGTTAACATCACGGGGTCGGTGTTGCCGTGCCGTAGCTGCTGCCTTGGCTGCGCGCGGCCGGCCTGTGGGTAGCTCCCTTGGATGCCGGGAGAGTGTGTGAGTGTGCTAGTGTGTGAGCGGAGTAAGACAGAGTCCCCATCGGTAGCCCGGGGCAGAGCTTAACTCTCCCCGTGGTAAGTCTATTTATGTTTATTTGTGTCGCGTATTTATTGTGTATATTTGTTTAGTAAATTTATACATATTTTTATTGTTTCGTGTGCAGTGTAGGCGTGACGCACCATTGTGAGTTGGCGCGCACCCGCAGTGGCGGAAGTCCTTCGGGGACAGGAGCTGGGCGCAAGGCAGCCGAGCACTAGGTGAGGGGGCGCAGAGCCCACCGAGCCGCAACAGGAGGGATACTTGGTCAAAGTGGCGCCTCCATATGAATTGTGTACAGCCTAATAGAGAGTGAAACGTTGTTTTTAAGCTTGCTTGCAATATCTGCAAAGATTTTCTAGATGGGGAGTTATGAAATGTTTATAATGCAAAAATTTGATCTCGTCACTACGCCACTTGAAAGGGGCATTGTGAGAATCTTTTGAGGTAAAAATTCAAGGCATTGGCTAAGGTGTTGAGGTCCTTTTGGGGTAATGACTGGCAAGTGTTTATTATACTGAAGCTATTCGTTGCACAGAGCGCCTTGGCAGTAATCATGACCCCATTTGAACGACCACAGGTTTGAATGATTTAAAATTCAAAATTTCTTGATTTCTAAATATGAGTATCTATTAGGTTGTAAAGAAAGTTCTCGGGCACTTGCAAAAATTTTTTTTCAAATCGCTGTAACTTCAAGCAGATTGATTCTTTTTTGAAGCTACAAACTTCATTGAAAATACAATTTTGTCCACAACATATATTAGTCTTGCTAGTTTTCAGCAGCTCACTGCGGTCCACTAGCATGCGCAGAAGCGAAAAAGGTCGTCGCGAAAAGTGGCCTATTTGTGCATCATTATCTCAGGCACGATGTAAGCTGGAGAGCTCAAATGCTGTAGTTATATAGAAGTCTGCTGGGGCTGTTATGGGGACCATTTTAAATTTTTTGCAGAACCACCTGCAAAAATTTTTCCCCGGAAATTTGAAAAATCGACCATTTTTTGCCTTCCAAAAAGCACCATTTTTCGAGTAGGTGACTTTGAAGTCTTGTCGTTTGCATAGGGTGGACCAAATCTTTGATTACTGCAAACATTGTTGGGGTAATGCCTTAAACGTCTCTTGGCCCTATCAGCCAGGCGTGGCGATCCCGGCAGAAGCGACGCGATATGCGAAAAGAGTTGTGGTCAGAGGCAAGTTTGACAGCTTCTGATTTCTGAGCACAAACCGCAAAACTAGAGTGCAGCTGCGGGTCAGAATTATACAGGCTTATCAATCGGATTACCCGTAATTTGGACGAAATTCTTTGAATTGCACGAAAAAATAGCTGTAGGAAAATTGTGAAACTTTTATGGTTGAAAAGATTTTTCTTTTTATGTGCAGATCAAACACATCTTGGTATCGACAAAAATTAGAAGCTGTATTGAAAACTTTAGGCTTTCCTCTACTGAACAGTTTAAAAAACTTGGTGTCAAAGTCCGAACAAGCGCCGAAAAAATGCGTTGTTAATGAAATTTCCAAAGTGCCCGGGAACTTTCTTTACAACCTAATAGAACATGCAGAAGCACTTGAGAGACTCGTAGCATTATGTATACCAGCCAAGAAAGCAAAGATTGCTACGTATCTCTTACAAGGTAATGAGTTATGTAAACATGCCTTATCAATTGCGGAAATACAAGTTCCATTGGCGCCACACTGAACATCCTTAAGCCGGCACTGATCCGGAGACTTCCAACACGTATGACCCTATAATGTATGAACATACTTTTAATGTTATGATTATTCCGCAAAAACTTTGATTTAAATACTCACGGACCACTCGGGCTTACAAACACAGGAGTAATTTCCATTCACGCTTTGGCAATTGCTTGTTCCCAGTACATGACAATCACTGCAGGACTTGAGCTCTGCGCCGATCAAACTAGTTTCCGCTTCCCATTCTATTGAACTTGAATTTTCTGAAGTGATAATTGATTAATAATCAATTACGTAGGTCCTGCTTGTTATCGTTCACTAGCATATCCCGCTATGTTGGTGGATCGAGATCGTTTTAGTATAGTCGTCCTCACCCCACTAGTCGGTCGGCGGTGGTCGAATTTGAATTCGAACTGGAGCAGGCCGGCAGCGGCAGAGCGCGGCAGACCGCCCCTCAGCCAACTCTTGCACATGGGCTTTTCTCTTATTTTCTTCGTATTTCTTTGCTATCTCTGGTATTGCGGCAATGTTCTTAATCAGATTTTTAGATTTTATACCGCTAACTATTGTTTTGTGCAGTTGGGTTCGTTTGTTTTACATTTCTTTTTCCAGGTAAATCGGGAAGAAGGATGCGATTAGAGATTTTTGGATGAGTAATCTCTTCTCAATTAAGTGACATTTACAGAAATGTGATTTAATGAACTGGGGTACGGGATTTGAAAATCTGATTAAGAACATTGTTGCAATACGAGAGATAACAAAGAAACACGAAGAAAATAAAAAACCTCTTCCAAGCGGTTGGCTGAGGGACGCGTCTGCCGCGGTCAGCTTGCTCCAGTTTGAATTCAAATTCTACCACCTACCGACTAGTGGGGTGAGGACGACTATAAGCATATGGTGGCTTTTTTTCCACTTTAACTATCGAAAAACATATGTGGCAAGTATCTCGATTCGTTATCCGCACGGACGCTCAAACGTTGCGGTCCACGCGCGACGCGACTGAAATGTTGCGAGAGCACGACTTGTACAATGGCGAATTTCTACTGGCGCAAGCGTTTTACCTCGCATTGCGTGCGCCGCAGTGATCTCCAGTCCGTGCGGTCAGCGAGTCGACGATATTTTCACTCTTTCCATATCAGGCTTATTCTTACACGATTGGTCATGAGAAGTAAATACGGTCTAAGTAGAGTCTCGAGAGAAGTGCTGCTCCCTTTTAGCAATTTGCCAGCCGCTCAGGGCTTATTACAAGTTTTTTCTATCCATTCGGAAAGACCGAAATGATTGAGAAAGTTCTAGGAAGTGAATTCAAGATGAAGCATCACTTAGTAAGATAAGCGCAGAAATATAGGTGAATATTTGGAGAAGACTCTTGCGTACATAATACTGGTGGAAATAGTATTGTACATATACATATATAAAGTTGTCCAAAAATGTTCCTAGTGCTTGAACTGAAGGATCACGGTAGAAACGTTCAGGGTTTAAGCCACTGAAGGCAATCTCGCCTCTAACAGGAAATTGAATAAGTAAAAACTTTACGTTTTACTAATCGAAGTAGCGATTTTGCGATTTTTGCTTACCTGAGCGTATTACCTTTGCTGAATTTGAAAATTCTCTCTAGAATGGATTTTCGAATTCAGCATAACGATTAAGCCGGTGAGCAAAAAAAACCCAAACTCCTGCATGGACACCCGCAAATTTGAGAAGTACCCCAAAAAATATTTCGGAGTGCGTGGCTAACGCCACGCACCTTCATTTGAAAAATCCCCCCCCCGGGTCCGAAATCCTGGGACCGCCTGGTGTGGTCATATATACCCAGGGGACAGACGCCGATGAGAGATCGGAGTTTGAGAGATGGAGAGGGGAGGAGCCCTAACAAAGGTGGTCCACGCCTACAATTTGTGCCTAGAATAAGTAGTGTCATACTGTTTCTTGACCAAGACTTGTCACTACGATCTTGCCTTCTTTTCATCATTTTGTCATTCGTTTTATTATCACTGTGCCTTTGTTCTTTTCCCAAAATCAGTTGCAAATAAAGTCTTGCATTTGTGTTTATTGTTCGCCATCGAATGTCGAGATTTGACTTTAGGTATCGTTTGTGTACATGAAGAAACCGAATAAGAAAATATTGCCAAAGAAAAGTAGATTCGATGGGCTTGTTTTAAGTGATAGTAGGATTAGTAAAATGAAGGCCAATTATGGAATTAAGATGAGCGGAAGATAGCGGCTGAAAAAAGGTGAAATGAAAGATGAGAGATTGAATGAAGTCTCCAATCTTCCTGTCAGAGATAGAGACAATCGATGTATCGCCTTCTTCAGAGCCAGAGTGGTCGAAATGATAATCAAGTAGGCTGTAGTACATCTATAAGGTAGATGGGAAATGAATGAAAGTAACACATTGAGAGAGTGATGATGAATGGTAGTTTAACGTAGTAGGGTTAGGCAACTCATTTCGTGCTAACCTGTGCGCTTTATGTAGCAGATTCGACAAGACCGCTAAACC